CTTTCCCTGTGTAGAATGTTATCTGTAGAAGCAAACTGTAAATATAGGTTTTAAATTAATTCATTTTTGCATACATGAAAACAACATAATCTTTTATTTTCATCATCAATGACATAATGGTCATATAATTATGATTTAGAATAATAATAGTGAAGAAAGTGTATGTTTCTAGAGTTGATGCAGATTGATGTGAATGCACATGTAGAGTTCTAATTGGAAACAAATTGAAGAAGGAATGCTGGAACTGGGGGAATTGACTTTTCAGCAGTGAGACTAATGAGAGAGACGGGGCAAGGGATGGTGTCCATCCAATTATACGTCACCTTTTGAAAGGACTTTGAACATGGACATCTCATGTTCACCCTTGACTTTAAGCTAAAAAGGGCAGTTGGGAATTCAGTCCTTTTTGTAGGTTGGGACACCTTTTTTGTTTAGCTTGGCTTTGCTTCTTGCTTGCAAAGTTTAGCCACAACCCCCCTTTTTTCTTTTTTTTATTCTTCGTGTTAAAATGAGAATCCAACAAAGCTGTACAGATAAGGAGAAGGAAGTTCCCCATAGCATAAAAAAACAGATAACTTCGTCATACGAAATTCGACCTGTTAATTTTGTTCCTTATTGAATAAAATTTGAATTTTTAAAGCACATATCCATCAAAAGCTCTAGTTGGAGTCGTGGTTTTGAATTCTATCAAGTACCAAATTACTAGAGTACCGAATAATATGACTATTTTTATTAAACTGAGATAGGTTACACTTTTTTTTATAATATAATGTTTTTTTCAAATTTTTACATTATTTTTGAATTACGAGAATACGAGGGAAAATAAAGTAAAAAAAAAAAAAAAAAACTTTTTTTATTTGATTTATCATTTATATTTTAATCAATGCAAAAATGGAAATTGACCATTTCTTTCTTTCAAAAACTTCAATTTTTAACTATCACAAATTGGGGTAACAGAAAAGAAAGGAAATGATTAAAAAATTTTAAATATAAAATAACTTTTATATTTTTGTTATATTTTATTATTTTTAAAAAATATTATTATAATATTTAAGTTTAACAATTGATGCTGTTTTTAAATATTTTGTAACTCATTTCTCAACTATTTTTTTGTCAATAACTACGAATTTTATAAAATTTTAATTTATGTTTAGGATTTTTTTTTTTTTCCTTTTGTTATGACTTTACAAATTCTAAATGATAAAAATAAAAAAATATGACAAGATATGTGCAATGATAAGGAAAATGCGGATACTTACATAAATTTATAGTTAATTTTATCTTAATATTAAGTTTTTAATTTTTAATTTTCTCATTTATAGATTAATTTTGAAAAAAAACTTGTAGTATAAAAATAAATCTAAACATATATTTTTTTGAATTAATTATTAATAATATTCTCTTTAATTGAAATTATTTTTATTAATTTTCAAAAAATTTTAAAATAGATAATATCAAAATTATTTTATTTTAAAATGATATAATTGGAGCAATATAATATAATATCTCATTTCCTTTCATTTTCACAATTTAACCAAACAAATGTTATAATTAATCCTTTCTTTTTCTTTCCTTTACTCATTTTAACTATCAAAACAAAAAAAAAAAAGTGAAGTATCATTTTTTCCTTTAAAAATCTTTTTTTTTTTTTTCCTTTTTTTTATGAACTTCGATCCAAACATAGGTTTAGCATTGTTTAATAATCCAAAAAAAAAATCCAATTAATATTTGAAAAGAAAAAGAATGAAGATGTAAGATCTCATTCCTTATTCTGCATTCAAATTATTGGTCATAGCATAGAGAATTATTGTTAAAAAAGGGCTATTGCATTATGTTGTTGAAAAATTTGATCATAAATTGATATGATAAAATATTTGAATATATCTTTTAAAGATGCATAGGATTTATTCTAAAGTAAAATTATGCATTATATAAGATAAATAGACGAATGAAAACGAATAAATTATCAAATTGAATACAAATGGCATGATATTTTAAAATTTTAAAATATTTATTTATTACATGAAAAGAAAACCTAACTATTGATCTCCAAGTATAATCCATCTCGTACAACAACAAAACAAAAAGTCTCCAAACAGTTAAGGAAACTTCTTTAAGTTTTGAATTATATTGGGGAATAAGACAGCAAAGCTCTTTTTATATATATTTATATATATATAAAAAAAAAAAAGCAAAACTTTGTAATTTATTTTATAAAATAAAAGAAAATTAAGAGAGGCATGAGCCAAAGCCGAGCGAAGGAAGAGAGACGCGAAGCCGGATAGGAGAGGTCGTAAAGAATGTCTTTTGTGCTGGTGGGGAGGGCATCGTCCGTACGTGCGCAATGCGGTTGGTTGGCCGCACCCACAACGAACCACACAATAAACCCATCCCCCATCCCCGGCCCTGGCCCTCTCCCTACCGGTGGGTCCCTCACACCTTCCCATTCCCTCGTCCTTAAGCCAACAAAAGAGGCAGGCTTCCTTCCTCCGTGGACCCCACCACCCAAAAACGAACCCTCCTCACGGAATGATGGAAGTTGGACCCACACCACATGGCATCTTCTTTGTTGTCCACGTTATTTGCCCCCTCTCGTTTGCTTTGCTGAATTGCTGCACTTCTTCATCTCCATGTTTTAATCTTCATTTAGCTTTCAAGCCATCAATTTTGATAAAGCGGACGATCATGGACCAAACAGAAAAATCAATTCAATTTTCAGGTTTTTTTTTTCCCACAAAACGAGGAGACACCGGCTGCCAAAATGACGGAAATTTGAAGGACCATGCATCCAATTAATTATGTTTCATTTATCGTAGGCGAAGTCAAACTTGAGTTGCCCCCCCGGAAGGTAGTAGGTGTCCTCATCGTCCTAAATGTCGTACTTACCAATGAAGACTCCCTAGAATTTCAAAAAGTGGACGCCGAATTTTCTTCTAGACAATGTGAAAAATTATATTGATTAACATTATTTTAATCTTCAAATTAGGATGTATTAAAGTGCTATAGCCTTTTTAATTAATGTTTGACAGATCATATAACTCTTGATTCTTCATATGTGATTATTTTTTAATATTGTAAATTAAAAAAAAATATTTTTTTTTTGTAAAAAAAAATCATAATTTAAAAATAAAAAATTACATGTATTAAAATTTATAATTTAAATTTATTAAATATTATTTTTTAAAATGATAATATAAATAAATTAAACTAAATCAAAATATTAAAATTATTATTCTTTACTATGATATATATTAATGCATGGACATTATTTTCATACCTTCATGAGAAAAATGGAAGGATAATTGAGGTCATGTTTTAGGGTGAGGGATTGATAGTATAAATGATACATTAACACTTATAAGTTATTGGGATTCGATTTGAAAAAAAATAAAATTTGATTCGATTATTGTCGAATTAAACTTAAACTCGAGTAATTTGATTTATCAAGTTAGTCGATTCGAGCATTTCAATATTTGACTCAAATGACTCGCGAGTTTATTTAAAATTTTTTATTTTAATATATATTTTTATTATTTTAATTATAAAATTATATTTTACCTTTAAAATTATATTTACTTAACAAAAAAACTCTAAACCTAAATTAAAATTAATCTCACTCTCTCCTGTTTCATGACGCTTCCTCTCAGACCTTCATTCTCTCACCTTCTTCATCTCTCTTTCTTTTCCTTTGCTAGTCTTAATTAGCCTTCTCAGTATTCTTCACTCTTTAACAACTCTTGTTCTTAGCCTTCATCACTGTAATAGCATATTTGAGTCCTCTTCACCAACACATACTCTTAAACTTCGTCATTGCAAACCCCAACAATTCGATAAGATATGTGTGAGGTGATTTGAGTCTATTGTTGTTGGGATTTTTGCCAAGCGCCTTACCTTTGCCATGTCTCTATTTCTCATTTCCCTTTATTTTATTTATTTTTGTTTATATCCTTACCTTAGCATACGATTTGGGTGCTTTTTCTTTTTTTAGAACGAAGCATGGACAATGTTAAGATTTTCTTCTGTGTTTGGCTATTAGCTAGGTGTTTACATGTCTTATGAGTTTACATTTCATGAGTTAGATGATTTTTGTTTGTAAAGACTTGAGTTTTATTGGCTACAACAGGTTATATTGAGCCGATCATCCGTTGATTTTATAAGCCAACAAACTATATCTTAATGAATTTATAGGAGGTATTGGTCCAATTGTTTTTTTAGCCATCATGTGAAGATTTTTTTTTTTTTTAAATCTTATTCATTTTGAATTATTAATTTCTCTTCTTTTTATTTGATTGAACTTGTTATATAATATATTAATTAAAATTTAAAATTTTTTATTATAATTTAATCATAACGAACGAGCTCAAATTTAACTCGAGATTTATTTTGAATCAAATTTAAACTTAAAAAATATAATTTGATTAAGTTTAAATCAATATTTAAATTTTAATTTTTAATTCAAATTTGAATCCAAACATGTTAAAATATCGACTCAATTACATTTTTAAAAGAGACCTCATACTCTAATCATACATTATCTCGATTTTCACGATATTTAAAAGAAATTAACACAACATGTGCATTTTTTTTCTTAATTAGCTACCACTTCTAGAAATGAATCTATCCACACTGAATTTTACACATATTTTTCATTATTTCAAAATTAAAAAGTCCAAATTTATATAAATGCCTCTGTTCAAAATTTAAAGAAATGCTATTGCGAACCAATTTTAAGTACACTTTTTATTGGCAAATATCATCTCATTTATTATTTATTGAAAATTATATTAAGCCAGAGTCTTACTTACAATTCCATTCTCCAGCATCTACCTTTTATTATTATTATTATTATTATTATTATGTTTTGTCAATGAGAAATTTTTGTAGATTTTGCCATATTTGCGAAAGTAAAACATACTAAGACCCAAATGGGGGGCAATTTCACGGTGATCATGCTGCATGGTGGTCTGGTTTCCAATCCACTTTTTGGGCTTTAAACCTTCACCTTTCCTTGTTTACCCATCCCCAAGTCCCAACTTTCATTTGGTTACGCCACGTCGCCTTCTCCAGAAATCGCCATGTCACCACTTCCCGTGGTCCCCACTCGTACGGACGTGTCAAATATATAACCCCTCCTTCCTTGTCCCAAAAAACCCTCCTCAGAGCTTTGTAAGACCAAACGAACAAAAACCAAACCAAAACAAAACAAAAGCCCCCCCCCCCCACCAGTACTTGCTGTTTAAGCCTTCTTCCCTCTCTCAACAAAACAGCTGATAAATCGGCCGACAGGTAATTCTCCCAAAAAACCCAATAGTTCGGAGCATCCATAAATAAAAAAGAAGTTCGGGTTCCTCATATTTGGGCAAGTTAGTAATTAATAGTTAAAAGGAAAGGGTAGAGTTATTGTGGAAAGTAAGAGATGCCAATGGCGGCTGGACCAGCATCGCCAAGGGAACGGGCTCAAGCTGTGGGGCCTGCCATGGTGCCGATGATGCAAGCTGCACCGGCGACTGCTGACGTTTTGGCTAAGGACACGATCATTTCTTGGTTCCGAGGGGAATTCGCGGCGGCCAATGCCATCATCGATGCTCTTTGCGGTCACATGGCGCAACTTCAAGGAGGAGGAGGTGTAGGGTCGGAGTACGAAGCGGTGTTCGCGGCGATCCACAGGAGGAGACTGAACTGGATCCCGGTGTTGCAGATGCAGAAGTACCACTCCATTGCTGATGTGACGGTGGAGCTGAAAAAGGTGGCTGCCAAGAAGACCGGAGGAGGAGATGGCGTTGGCAAGGAGGAAGTGAAAAGTGGAGGCGAAGGAGAAGGCGGCTGTTTGGATGATGAGAAAGAGAAAGTTGCCGAGAAGGTGGAGGAAAATGAAGCAAATGGGGAAGTTGGTAGCGAAGAAGAAGAAGATTCCCCTGACAGTGATATTACTGATTCAGGTAACTTCAAACTCAAAAGAAAAAAAAAAAAACTCTTGATCATAAAGTTTGATTCTTTTTGACATAAATATTTATTGATCACGACTTGTTTCTCTGTTTGATTCGTTTTTGTCTCTCAAATGCCAAGTTTGATCGTTAGGTAAGCCTTTTCTGTGCTTTTTTTTTTTATTTAGGGTAATTTTGGTGGTTTTTTTATTGGAATTTGTGACGCAAAACTAGGCCGAGTTGCCATGATTCTAATCACAGGCAAAATGCTAGAAAAAGCTATGAACTTCGCTCAGTTTTCTTCCATAAATACCATGCGATCAGTTGATTTCGATGAATACTTCAAACTTCCTTTGTTTCTTCATCAATCAATAAAAAGACGAAAGGAAATATCGCTTTTTTTATTTTTATTTTTTGTCCGCTCTCTGGCTGCGTGGAAGGCAGAGAGGCGTGAGGCGTTGAATCTCAAGTCTCACTGTGTTTGGTAAAGCGAGAAAGTGAACGCCTACCTTGGAATAAAGCAAACGCATTATGTTTATGCCATTCTTTTTCTTTTTTTGTAAAAAATTAGTAAAAGATTTAATCATATTCCTCCATTTTCTGAGGAACCAAACAAAATCATGTATTTTTTCACGGGATCAGATGTCCAACTTTTCCAATGCCTTTCCAAAATTTTATCTGACTTTGAATTCAACGTGGGCTTCAGGTCATGTTTGGTTGTTTGGGTTAGATGACTATGATTGATGTTGTTTTACCGCTATCAGGATCTTCAAACTCACGCTTTCTTGGAAAAAAAAATGTCATCAAAAAGCGTTGTTTTATTTATTTATTTATTTAGAAAAAAGTGTTCCTCACTTGCTGGGTTGGTTTTTTATTTTTAGGAGGTAGGAGCAATAAGTCTTTGGTATGTTCACGAGGTTTAGGTGGGGGGCGGGTTGAGGATTTGGAGATGAAGACTGGAGAGAGAAAAAAGCGTTTGGTTGCACTCAGTGTGACAGTTAGTTTTGGGAGTGGCGCAATCTCATTACGTTGATCTTTGGGGTCTGCGCCTCGAAATGCGTGCAATGATTTTAATGGTAGGCCGCTTCTGATCATAACCGTCTGATCTTAATGTTGACATCACGGCTGCCGTTTGTTGATTTCACGTGGGCTGCTTTGGGAGGGGGGGTTGTTGGGGGTTTGGCCCTTTTTTGACATTTATGGTGTACATATAGATAGTTAATCCCGATTCCCAACTGAAATGCTCGAGTCCGGATGAGTCGACTCGTTTGACCGCATTTGCTTTGCCTGGTCAACTCTGTTGTCCTTTGGGTGAGCGAGCGATCCAATGATGATTGAATTGAATTCTACGACAGAAAAAAACCGGTAGTGTTTGTATAGCCGGTTGTGCGATCAGACATTGGGACAAGCCGCTGTTTCTGTCCTGACGTGGTGGCTTTTGCTTAGCTTCTAAAACTAGAGGGACGGAAGTGACAAGCACAGCTGTGTTGTAAAAGTTGCGAACTTTCTTCTAGCCATCAAGAGAAAGGCGCTGGCTGAGCTTTGAAAATAGTGTTCCTATTCTATCAAGGAATGTGAAATAAATGGGAAGCATATATTTTCAATAGTATGAATGTATGATGCTTAAATAACCAAATATAATAAAGGTAACAGCTCAGTTCCACCCTTGAAATAACGGATCATGAGCCTGCCAAGCTTAACTAATTTTACAGTTTCTTTTAATGCATAGTGTTAGTGCTAATTTTTGTGTAATTTAGTGCATTACAAATGTTACAAGATTAATAATTTACACAATGAACTTTTATGGAATGTTGGTTTATTAAACACATGGTTCTGAAAAATCGAAAAAAGAAGGGGAGGGGGGGGAATGTGATCAATTTTTACTATCACAGGCTACTTTGTCTGAGAATTTGGTCTCTTTTTTATTTTATTTTGTTATAAGCCGACAAATGTGAAAATTAATTCACATTTGACCCATCATGCCTTTTATTCTGTAGTTGTATTTATATCTATTGTCTGGGGCAATGATTTCACTTCTTTTGGCAATGCAGGATCTCAGGAAGTTCAGCATGTTGAGGAAAACATTGACATTTGCTCTAACCATGAAGAATGTGATGCACGTCGTTCTCAGATAAAGTTGACGAAAGGTTTTTCAGCCAAGGAGCAAGTAAAGGGCCATATGGTGAGTTCCTTCTCTCACAATTTAATAGACATTATTGCTCTGAGGAAATGAATTCAGAGAGAAAAGAATTCCTATATTGTTCAGATGAGAAAAAAAAAAAGAGATGGATTCCAGTAGTTTTGCTTGTGTACTGATTACTGTGGTGCAGGTGAATGTTGTGAAAGGATTGAAGTTATATGAGGATGTATTCACTGATTCAGAGCTGGCTAAGCTGAGTGACTTCGTGAGTGAGCTTCGTTCTGCTGGCCAGAATGGGGAATTGTCAGGTGCCATCCCACTTTAAAGCCTTGCCGAATTGAGCCTGTTTTAGAATATTAAGATGAAGATTTGAAATAGTTATCCCTTCTGTTGTAGCTTTGTTTGAACAGGTATAGTTATTTATGTTTCCTGCTTGATCAATTTAATAATTATCAGAAGTTATACAGGGTATTTGATGTTAATCACTTCCAAGATCAATACAACTTCCTAGACAATTTTAAGTCAAGCACCTAGAGAGGCAATTTAGTTGGATTTAAGCTGATAAGTTAGGGGTTTATACTTTTGAAGGACGAGGTTCATCATGTGAAGCAAATACCTCAACCCTTGTGGTCACCTTACGTGTTTAAACGTAGATTTTACGAAGTTCTTAATAGCAGAGACAATGTTTAATACCCTTTTCCTTTTCTCATTTAATTTTTTTATATGAACTCTTAATCTCTCTTCTGATTAACCGTTTTCCATTTTATTGTAAAGGATTTGTAGTGTGGACTGTTTATTTCATTGGTTTGCAATTTCATATTAATCTCTCTTCTGATTAACAGTTTTCCATTTTACTTACCTCCACTTTTTTTCTTGCCTTAATAGCATCTTCTTTCGAGTTAATTCAAGAGTTTGTTTAGTCAACAAAAGATGACTACTGCAATTTGTTGGCCAAGTCTTTGTTTCTGAACTTCTTCATGATTCTTTTTGTTTTTCTGGATGATTACAGGTGAGACTTTTATTTTATTCAACAAACAAGTTAAAGGAAACAAGCGAGAGCTGATTCAAGTTGGTGTTCCAATTTTTGGACACATTGGAGAGGAGCCCAACCAGTCATGTAAGACCTACCACTATGAATTATTGATACAGTTTGGTTTCTGTAGTTTCTTAATTTGTTCTTGATCCTGAAGAGTAATCAATTACAAGTAAAGTGAAATAAACAGCTTTTTAATTGGCCTTTTTTTTTTTTCCTCTTTAAATGTTTTGCAGTCAATATAGAACCAATTCCAGCTCTTCTACAAAGTGTCATAGAACACCTGGTCCAGTGGCAACTGATACCTGAATATAAGAAACCAAATGGTTGCATCATTAACTTCTTTGATGAGGTATACTTTTTTGCTGCTCTATTATTCCCATCTTTCCCTGTTATTTATTTGTTAAGAGTACGCATGCCACCATGTCCATGTGCCATCTTGGTTTTAGAATTAAATTATATTTGAAGAGAGTAAGGATAGAAGTGATATAATTGTGTTCCTTTAACGCAGGGTGAATATTCACAGCCTTTTCTTAAACCGCCACATTTGGATCAACCTATTTCCGCTCTTCTCCTCTCTGAATCAACAATGGCTTTTGGGCGCACTCTTGTGAGTGACAGTGAAGGGAACTACAGGGGGCCACTCCAACTTTCTTTGAAAGAAGGGTATGTTTAAAGTTATTTGTATTTGATTTGTACTCTTGGAAGTTAGCTGAAAAGATTTGTTTGATATTAAGTCATGATATTGGACTGAAAAATGAACCACCAATAGTAAACTACGACAAAAGATGATAATGATGAAACAGCTTAGGAACAGAATTTCATTTATTGCAGGTTCTTCTTTAGAGTTCACTGCTTCTATTGAATATCACGGGAGGCAAGCTTTGGGTGATGGAGTGGCATTGTATAATTTTAGTTTGTTTATAGCATTAGAGTTTGCATAAGAGTGACATTCCATTTCTGATTAAATTAGTGGCTAACATCATACATTGAAAAAACTAACATTAAAGAGGGGCAGCTTCTCATTTAAAAATGTTGCTTTCCACCACTTCCGTGATGTTTTGGTTGCAACAAAATCTTAAAACAATCATATTTATCACACAGTGCGTTAGAGTAGGAAGTTGAAAGCTAAAAATCTTCTTAGAACATTTGCATTTGCACTAATTTCTCCACTTTTCTCCTTTCGATTTTTCTTTTCTCTTCCTCCTTTTAAATTGTGCCAGAATTTGTGATGTCAATGTAGTAAACTGAGCAGGAAACTTGTTTTGAAGACAAAGGAATAGCATCTCTAAATTTTATCCTTCATTTTTGGTTCTCTCCCTTCTTAATAATATACCTTGTGTTTTTTAGGGTACTGACTCTTACTTGACAAGCAAGTTTGTAACATATTACTGCTATTCTGCAGGTCTCTTTTAGTTATGAGGGGAAACAGTTCTGACATGGCTAGACATGTCATGTGCCCATCTCCAAGCAAGAGGGTCAGCATTACATTCTTCCGAGTTCGGCCTGATACCAACCAAGGTCAGTCACCACCAACTACCCCCCAGGCTGGTGCCATGACACTGTGGCAGCCAGGTGTCCCAGGTCCTTATGCAATGTCAAATGGAGCTCTTAATGGCTATGAGGCACTGGATATGATGCCAAAATGGGGAGTCCTCCGCGGTCCTGTTGTCATGCTTGCTCCTGTGCCCGTGCACCCAATGGCAGTGAGCCCCAGAAAACAACCTCATGGCGGTACAGGGGTCTTCTTGCCTTGGACTATGGGATCAAGAAAGCCTACCAAGCACCTTCCACCACGAGCCCAAAAAGGAAGAATGCTAGCATTACCTTCTCCTGTTGAAACACATGTAGCAGAGTCTACTTCTAAACCAGGCATCAAATATTGAGGTGAAATCGGTATAATTTAAGCTTAAGGCAGCCCCAGGGCCAAAGCAATATGAATTGTCTCATGCGCACTTCTTGCTCTCGAAGATCTTTTACTTACTGTACAAATGCGGCTCAAATGCTGTAAGAGTTTGTTTTTTCCCTTCACTTTTTTTTTTTTTCCTTTCCCGCAGCAAGGTTCGGTTCTAGCAGTTGTCACCATACTTGTTGAATGTCATGGTAGGGCTTTAGAGATAGTTGTGCTTTAAGTTGGAGTGTGAATTAGCTCTACTGAAGGGCTGAATTTTGTATTAAGCTATTAAGTCATTTATATTAATCTCTTTTACAGACAGATAGATAGTATTAGTTTGTGGTTACCATGGTTACCAATTATGTGTATCTTTACCACCAAGTTCTTTGTTGACTAGGATATAGACAAAATGCCCGTAAATGTTAAATTGAACCTTATTGCTTTTCCTTGAGGTTCAGTTCAGACCATATTAGTCACAATCTTCACTTAAAAAAATTTATGTATATCTAAAGAACTGACGTTTCTGTTCTTTCTTACCTTAGTCAGGTTTGAACATTCGAATTTTCGCAGAGTCGAAAGCCTTTATTATCTGAAGTAGGATCCTCAAATCCCGGAAGTGTTCCTTCCCTACCTTAGTTCTGTGCCCTGTTAATTTGACATACCACAGTAGAAATGAAGAAAGCAAGAAAATGGAAAGATAGTAAATGGTGAATTTTGCTTTAAGTTGACAAAAATTAGGTTATCTCATAATCAAAGACTCCCCTATTGCGGAAAACATCATACCTTCCGGTCCAGATGTACAGCATGCTTCGATATTCATCTTAAAATTAGAAGGAATAAACAGAACATTCTTCCCTTTCTTTTTTCTGCTTCAATGATATATATTATGATTATAGTTCCTAAACCACCAAGTAAACGAGAGCCATATGTTAAAAGCATTTTCAACTAACTTCTTTCTACACAGAAAGCTAATTTGTTCAACCCTCAGAGTTGATCAGCAGCAAAGCAAACACGCAGTAGATCCTCGTATTATTATTACCCCATAGATGTCTGTTTAGCAGCTTTTGAAATTGCACAGGTACGCATTCATTTCTGCTATGTGCGAGTAGCTTATAGAAAAAGACGATCGATGTGGTTTCCGAAATGCCATAGCAGATGCCGTTAATAAATTTGAAAGCCTAATGTTCAAGATAATATCAATATGCTAATCTCAGTCGATCGATATCCAGGTTTTGTTTGTTGGCCAGAAAGAAAAAATCAACATCCAGGTTAGTAAATTGGCTCTGTAGATGAATAAAAGCAGTTTTAGTATGAACATTGCTGCTTCAATTTCATTTCAATTAAGTGTTAAAAGTACACAATCATAGAAGATATTTGCATTTCAAACAAAAAGGAAAATGAATCCTCCCCATTATATAACACTTGCAGGGGACAAATATAAGGAACACAATGAAAAAGATACAGTAGAATGCAATAAATTCTATGAGAAATAAATATCAATAATTTCAGATGAAACTTTACATTTTTCATCAAGCTTTAACCGGTTCGTCATCATCTTCAATATCCCAGCTCAAATCCTCCTCTTCTTCTGCAGTACTTAGTCGTTTTCTCAGATCAGCCCTATTGGAGCGCGGGCTCCCAGCATGAGTCCCTTTCTTATCATCAATGCTGCTGAGATCCTCAATTTCATCCCACCCAAGATCGTCCTCCTCAGGCATTGATGGATGGCTTGACACCACTGAAAAGTCACTGTCTTTACCATTGCCATTACTAGACTCCTCATTGTCGCCTTTCCCTTCAGAAACTACTTTCTCAACAGATTTCGACACCGAACCTTCCTTGCATGCCTCCTCATTCTTCTCCAAATTAACTTTCTCAGTCACCACATTGCCACCACTTGATTCATCATCATTTCCCTTCCCTTGTTTATTTGAATCATAACTGTCCAGTTCCTCAACAGGATTCTTCTCCTTTACCTTCTCAACTTGCTCCTTATTCTCCAAAAAATCACCTTTAGGTCCCAAATTCACTGCCTTCTCTTCCACAGTTTCATCTTTTTCTTTCCTATCCACATCTTCTTTCTTTAAAGTCGCCTTCCACACCACATTTCTCTCATCCTCATCCTCATCAACATCCCAACTCAACTCCTCCTCTTCTTCCCTTGAAATCGCTCTCTTTACAAGCTTAACCCTCGTATCCTCAGCTCGCTTAAGCTTAAAAACCCTATAGAAGTACCTACCCCAAAACGTCTCATGATCAACCCCATTTGAAACACCAACAACCTTTTTATAAATGCTCCCTATTTCCCCATTCTCTTCCATCAATCTCTCAATCTCTTCCTTCTTCTCTTCCAAACCGAACCCTGATTTCCACTTCTTATAATCCTCCAAATCCTCTGGCTCTTCACTGTAAGTATTAATATCTCCTTGGATTGCCCTTACTTGAGCATCCAATCGACTGTACCGTTTTGAGTTCAAACTCCGTTGAGTACTCAAACTCTTGCCATTGCTTTCAGAGGCAGAGGAATCTGATTCGTTATCGACAGCTAGTATTGCATCCTTGCCTTGAGTGATGATCTGAGCCGTTCCCTTTATAACAGTGTTCCCGAACTCATCAATGACGTGCCCTACGTTCTCTAACGAGCCCTGGGCTACCTCAATTTCTTTTTTTAAACCCGACCCGAATTCCTTGAGATCGCGACGGTAGGTTTCGATTACGGATTCGGATCTTGTTGCTATCGTTTTGATCAGACCGCCGAAGCTCCATCCGGTAGGGTTAGGGTTGGGATCGGGCTGTTTAGGAGAGGAATCAGGGGTAAAGTCGTCGGCTTTGGGGGAATCGGAATGGGGTTGGGATTGGGGTTTAGGAGGATCTGGATCGTCCGCGAAAACTGATTTGAAGAAATCCATGAAGAAAATTTAGGGCTTTCCGGGTGAGGTTAAGAATTGATTGAGATTTGGGGGTTTTTTTCAAGAGGATGTGAAATGAAAGGGAAACGAAAATTACGGATAAATTCAGGGAAAAAAAGACCGAAGCTTTTTGTCAAGTTTGTTTTCCGCTACCATAATGAAATCATTGGTGCGAAGCGCGCATCCAAAAGGGATGGAGGGTCTATTTCAGGTTAGTTTTGCTGGTGAACCGGACCGGTTCAATTCTAGACACCTTTGGCTCTTTTCCCATTTGTTTTCCTACAAATAAACAATGAACCTGCCTCATTACATTCTTTTGGGGAAAAAAAAAAGGAGTCTCATTTCATATACTAACTTGGAATTTTACTAATCTTATATATTTTCATAGTTTTCAATTCTACAGTGTTTTTGTTAGTATTCCCCCAATAAAATCTACTCCTTTTCAAAACTTGTATATGACAGATTTATCTCAATATCAACAACACGAAATAATTAAGTTATGAGCGGTATTTTTCAAAGCGGTATAATATTAATTTGTTGATAAAATTTTTAAATTTTTATTTTAATAATTAAGGATTAAATGATAAAAACTTTAAATATAAAAAAAAATATATAAAATTTTATTTAATAAAACTATCCTCTATATATCTTACTAGATTTCGGTCTCAACACTTACAAATTTTGTTCTATTATACTAAAAAACAAATTAACATGAAAATAAAAAATGAGTGGAGGGGGATACAAGCTCTACTTGGCATAACTGTTTCACAAACTCTTCTCTTCTGCAAGAGGAAAACAGGATTTCAAATAAAAAATAGATAATAGATTAGCTAATATAATCAAAGATCCAGAACTTTAGAAGATGAGAATGCATCTCGATTAGGTTGTTATATTTGAATTAGCTGTAATCTTTATGTAATGTAATCTCAGCTGCATTTAAATTTATAGTCCTTATCTACTTTTCTAACCAAACTACATTACCAATACATGATTGAATACAGAATGGCATTAAGCCTTAATGATAAGATCAAAGCTTTGATCCATCTAAGCGTGAGAAAATGAACCGAACTCTGATCCTTGCTGCTTTGGTTTCTCGTCATTTGCTTTGATCATCCGAGCTCTAATCCATTTTTTTCTTATCGAATTTTGCAACGAATTTATAGTAAAAGAAAGTTGATTTTAATTTCTGTTGTATGTGAAACAGACACCAATTAGTTTCTCCATTTTGTTTTCTCCTTTTTATGAATTTATGCTTTTTTTTTTCACATGCAAATAACCATTCATTTTGTATATGACAGTGAAAATACTTTAAAAGAAGCTAATGCATATTCAAATTGAAGGGTCAGGGGAAGATTCTTTATATGCATAAAAAATCAAAGTCTCAATCAGCTTTATTCCATAGCTGTGTTTGAATGGAGTATGGAAGGAATATCTTATTGCCCTGTTGTTACAAAGCATCTGAGTAAAAGCTTCTCTTTACAAGGTACCTTAATCTATTTCTGCTGCATCCACCAATCAGCAAGTTCCCTTGGTAATGCTGTTACTGTTTAGGAATAAATTAACTTCAAGCAAAGTAGAATTCCATTTCCAGGAATCCAGGAAATTTGCTTATGCTTGCAATGCAAACTGTTTTTGCTTTTCACTACAGCAGGTTAAAAACTAAGAAATCTTTGGGATTAAAAGAGATGACAATGCTTCCAGTTATTCCAGCCTCCCACGGAAATCACATTCTTTCTTTTTGTTACCCAAATGCCAAGCATGGAATCATTCAAGCAAGGTAAGACACGTGTTTAAATAGAAGCTCTCCTGCTTCCTATTTTCACCATCCAGCTGCATTTGTTCCTACTGTGGGTGACTCTTTCGGTTTCATCCAAGCGATGCACAAAAAGGAAAACAATTTTCGGCGCATTGGCATTTGCCAGAGGCTCTTCACCTTTATCATGAACGGCCTCATTGCTAGAGGCCTGAAACGTGTAACCTTGGGTCACCATATACCCCAGGATTCAACCAATCAAGGGGAACTAGATGGATATGCAAGGAATGGAGTGCAAGAACCTCTCATAAGCCACGCCAAACCGGATAGAGAGGAAAGGGCGAACACAACGCTTAAGGATGATTCGGATTATGTCGTTAAGATTCAATTCAAGCAAACAGAAGAGCTGGACTATTGGACTCCTGTTGACAAGCTTGGTTCATCTGCCTATGTAGCAGCGAAAGATGACAAAGCAATGGAGAAGAGGAACGAATTCACTGATCCGTCGGGGAAGAAGAAGATCCCACTGCTAAATGGAATTTCAGTTGGCACTACTAAACCTCAAGTCCAAGGGAAAACTGAAGTTCGTAGTCAAGGTGAAGGATCAACAGGTCCAAAGGTCATTATTCCTATAATTGATAGTACAAGGGAGAAAGAGAAGAAAAAGAAGGCTGACACTAAATTTCCTAGTCCAAAACAGGCAACACCAATACAACCCGATGCGTCAGAACAGATGCTTACAGGTTTTGGTTTGAATATCAATGAAATTTCTGAAATATTTATTCAGAATACGAGGGACAGAATAAGCAGAAACGTCAGCTTGGAGGAACCGGAAGAATCTTAGTTCATAAGGTGGGAAGGGCCTCTGTTTTTATAGTTTCAATTTCCTTTCTTTTTTCCCAAACAAAAATTGACGAGGAATCCAACTTGCTCAAATTTGAAATGACTTGATTTTCAATATTTGTATTGTCAACAAATGATTAGAATAAAAATTCATTGTTATGAACTTAATAGACATGTAATGAATCTATTTTCACACAATCTGGCAAGTAATTTTGCTAGAGATTGAAATGCCAGAGTTTACTTATAGCCATCATATGCCAAAAGCCATGACAACCAATGTTACTGATAAATGAGTTAGTTTCGGAGTTGATTTTTATGGGTATAATGAGCTGCTACAGGAAGGGTCAGGGATGCACAAGCAAACATACAAAAAGCGAGAAAAAAAAAAGGAAAAGAAATAGAACAACACATTGTTGGGGTAAATGGACGGAGTAACCCACTACAGCGTGTTTGAACATAAATATTGTACGGCAAAAGCAGTTCAGAGATACATGGAAACTCTGATAAAGGGTCATCCTGTGATTAGCTAGCTAAAGCTTAATATCATATTAACCTTCAGCCATGATCTATAACACAATAATAATCCTTTTAATTTTGCAGTGTCCTTCAAGGAATCATGGCGTTGAGGGCAAAGGTTAATTAATACACAAACCCCTCTCTTTCCAACCCTTTTTGTCAGAACTCAATGGTTTTTTTTCTTGTATAACTTCACATCAAAACAAAATATTTCTGTAACGTTTCCTTTTCTTGTCCCTTTCCTTTCGAGATTTCAAAGTTCAAAGTCTGGTTCTCGGAATATATGATAGAATGAGAAGGTTTTTTCTCCCTTCCATTCAACCATATATTCTTAGAACCAAAAGAAATAAAAAGAAATTAATTTCCAACTTTTTGTTGTTCTTTTTCTCATTTTTTAATTACCTGTTGTTGCCATTGTTTCTCCTCTAAAAAAGTAAACTCCCCTCTACCAGTTACTCCTGGCTCCCCCCACATCCAATCCCCTTATTCTTCCAAAGAGTGAATTGATGAAGCATAAAGATCATATGGTGCCCAAAGATGATCAACAATGCAGGGCCTCCTTGAGTCCAGCCTCAACCAAGGCTTCCCTTTCCCACTCCAATGCAACAAACTAATAGGCCCAGGATGCAAACTCCTACACTTTCCCTCAAGATTATCACCCCCTAATCCATGCTGGTTCCACCTGTGATCAACAGCTTTTATATTCCCAGCTAACACCAACAAAAAAGGTGGCAATGAACCCAAGGTGTATATCCTCTTCTGCTTTTGCACAGCCATCCACTCCTCCACTTTCTGCGTATACCCTCCTTGCCTCCATTTGTCAACATCCACCACCATAACCCCTGTGTTGAAATAGCATGGCTGTCTTCCTTCAAAAGTACTAGACCAACCCTTGTCTGACCAGAACAAGTCCGTGAAATACTTTGTAAAATTCGCATGACAATATTCTGGTGCGGCCAAAACTTTTCCTTCTAAATCAACTTCCCAAAGTTTCACAATATCGTCTACCACAACAAGGTCTGAGTCCAAGTATAAAACACGCTTAACATCCGCTGGTAGTATATCAGCTAGGTAAATCCTGGCATAGTTTAAAGGTTGGTCCAGTGCTTGGCGAATAGATTTTGATATCTTGCCACGAACACGATTGGAGTCAAATCGGTAAACTCTGAAGCTGAGGTAAGGGAAGGTTGAATTGATGCTTACAAGCACATCAGGCTCGTACTTTCCCCACAGGAAATGAAACTCCACATTTTCCGGGCATGTTGAATGCTGCAGGATGGAGAGAACAGCAGCCATGGTGCCCCTGAGGTAGTTTGCATCCAGTGTCATGGCAATGTGGATTCTGTCGGAGGCACTAGACCCACAAATATCCCCATTGCGAAAAGCTGGGGCCTCCCTGAAGACTGGAACATCCGAAGAAGGTTTTCGAATAATGCCATGGCGGATGCCGATGGCAAAAGCGGTGGAAGTAAAGGTGGTGGTGGTGAGGAGGATAGACAGGAGGCTGAGGAGGGAGAGAGAGGCCATCCTGTCTTTGATGGTAGATTATGAAAAGGGTATGATGGGGATAGGATTAGGGGAGAAGAGGAGAGGGAGTAGCAGCCATTTTGGCAAAGGCTGGTTAAGAGAAGGTTTAGGAGAAAGGAGGTTAGAAGGAACTAATGATTGAAAATCTTTGTTAACATTTTTATTAAGACATGGGAAGGAGAGAGGTTGGTAGAGAATGTGAGGAAGAGAAGAATCCTCGGAAGGACAATACAGGAAAGAACACAACTGTAAACCAAAATTAACTCCGTTTGATGTAATAAACTGAAACCGAAAAAACCTGTTTGAGTGTTTTTCAATTTTCTTGTTTCTGTATACCTTCCAATTTGGACTGTCATTTAATTTCCTTGCTTTGGTGAAAAAAAAAAACGACATTTTTATTTACATTTTAAAGTTGTTTGCATTTTTTGTGTATAAAGGTTTTTAAGTCACTTTAGTCAAGGTAAAAGATATTTTCCGAATAGAAATCCTGCTTGCCTGGCAAGTAATCGGAAAATATAAATGAAGATCAAACAAAGATGGATATTAAACATAATTTTATTTTATTTATTAAAAATGCTTAAAGAAATTGATAAAATATAGTAAGAATTGATATAGAACAGCAAAATTTTGATTTGCCATGCAATAATTAGTCGAGTAATTTCCTTTGTTATCTCACAATATATAGAGCCAGCTAGGGAGACCAAATTAGGTAAATTTGCCAGAAAGCTTAGAACATCCGCAGGTTGGCTGTAAAGCACTGGAAATGAGCATGATTTTAGGCATTGATTCCTACCTTGAGGACTGAGAATATGGGAAAAAAATTATTGGGCAGCGAATGATTTTATGTAAAAGATGTGGTCAAGAAAATGCATAGATAATTCCTTATTAAGAACCAAATTATACCCAAAAACAAAGAAAGAAAACTGACTTCCTTTGATATTGGGGTAAACATTCGTTAAATTGATGTTTTCTTCTGAGAAGAGAGATTTTCTATGTTTCCATCCACGCACCAAAAGTGGGATTAGCTTTTATTCTCTAATTAATTTGAATGATCCATGAATAAAGGATTTCTGTTCCTGAGACATGCCTCTGTTAAAGCAAAAACAGATTTGTAAAGCTTTGCGTATAGCTTAACAAGGCTGACCTGAAAAGGTACATAGTTTACCACGACAAGGTTGAAAGTGCTTTGCGCAAACAAGTCTCTGATTAAGTAGAAATTAGAGCAGAAAAGGGTACTGCTGCTGTGAACTTCCTTAGGCACTTTGAAGTAAATTGGCGATGGCATATTTTTATTCCTCAAAACGCAGGGAATCTTCTCATCTCTAGAGTGGACGGTTACATCTACCTCTCGTGAATGGCAGTTAAAGCATCGCTTATTAAATGTTGTTGGCATCTTTCTCAATAAATCATATAGAAGGTAGTTTGGAAAATTGACTCTTGACTGAATTAAGCCATGGATGTTGACTGTGGCTTTTTAGTATTTATCATAAACTGAAACATGTTAGTGCTCGATCAATATATCCTTGTCATTTCTTTACCTTGTTCAACGGATTTTTACTTCATACTTCATACTTGGTCATTTTCAGTCTGCTATTTTTTTTCTCTTTTTCAAATGATCAAACAATGAATTCAGAGTTAATTTCCATTGGCTTAACATCAAATCCCATGTTGAAAATTTTTTATATACTAATGCAGCGCACATGTCATGAAAACTTACAACATCTTAGGACTTCTTTGTCGCTCATTGTTTGCAAAGTTCAATCAGTTAATCCTCTTGTCCAAATTCTTATTCGAGAAAATGACATCAACAGTTTAGGATTCCACCATAGAAGGGTCCATGACGGGTTATAAGTAAAATGGGAAGGGGTCGTCAAAAATTAAAGCTCATCTTTCTGAGTTTCTTGAAGGCACTGCTCATCCCAATAGTATGGAAACTTCAACTTAGCTGCAGTGTGAGGCATGAACCAATCCTCATATATAAACCTAAATGCAAATTTGAATAAAAGAAAGCATCCTCAGCATTCATGACGGAGGGAAGGAAAACAAGGTATGCGCATGCAGCACATACAAGGAAATTTGACAAAATACAGTTTCCAAGTTAAATGATGGACCACCTTACCCAATATTGACATTGTTCTGTAAATTCTATTTACCACATGGTAACTTAAGCAACAGTTTCAACGATGCAGGAAACATCATGAGATGGGGGTTGCAATCATGAAACAATGGTTACAGGATAACTATATGGATATATGGTAAAACAGTCATTCAATCTAAGTTCTTAACCAATTAATAATGGAAATGGATCAAGTTCAGCGAAAGAAATGTGGATCGTGTCTTAATGTACTTATCTACAAAAGATTTCGAGGAAGAAACAGTAGCACTTTTAAAAGAACGATGGATGGCCTTCCCTTTAAGCTCCTAACTACTTCTGCCGCTTCTTCCTTTTTCTTAAATGAGTGAATGCTAGTTAAGTTTCTAAGTATCAAGGAAATTTCCATCTTGATGTACTCTAATATAGCAGCTTTAAGGACAATAAAAAATCAAGGCAAAGCTTCCCTTTCAGTTCATTTGTTTAAAAGGTTTGGAAGATGCCATTAGAAACTAGCATGCACTATCAATAACCACCAAAAGATTCCATGCAAATGTTTCAAACAAAAAACACTTGGAAGGGTGAAGCCAAAGCTAGCAACCTTGGTTTTCTAACGGAAAATGGAAATATAAAAGACATCCATCAACCAATGGCAAAAATGTTGATGCAAGAGGACTGAAGAAAAATTACATACACTTTGACAGGAGGGCGAGATATTATTGCAAGCATTTGCAAATCCTCATGTTCATTTGTATTCCAGACCTGTAAAGATGATCACAAACAATCGAAAATGAGGAATGTACATTTCACAGATTACCATACACAATTTGACATAATAAAAAGTAGAGAATTGAGAAGGTGGAGTGCAGGTGCAAAATGATAAATTGGCAGGAACATTATAATCTGCAACCTTCATCAAAGTGCCATGTTTGTGTGTAACCTGTGAAATTCATCCAAGTGCTGTTTGTGTGCATGGTGTCCCTCCCTCCCCTTCAAATATTTTGTAATTCTTATAGTCATCAAATCATCAACCTCAAGAATATAGTAGAGTGTTAACACATTTACTGACATGCAAGTTCAACCTCCAAACTTGCATTTAGTGGACATACCTAATTTAAACTGAGAACATTAAGAGTCCTCCAAATCAATGGAAACCATTTATACTTAGTAAATTGCGATTGCATCAATAGTGCGAATGTTTTCCAGAATTAAGGAGGTTAGACACTCAATTATAGAGAGGCACATTAACATCTTCAATAGCATGGGAGTAAAGAAAGTAAAGATCAATCTGATCATGTGGATTGTTGATGAATTTCTCAATCCTCCACATAGATGGCCGGAAGTGGATGAAACTTATTCAAATTTAGCTGCTCCTATGTAGATTTTCTTCTAAATAGTTGGGTTTTCTTGCTTCATTCTTCCTAGGATTTTTAGAAGGTAATATAAAACTGCATCATATTATTACAGGCTAACCCGAAGTCAAAATCGTCTCTGCTTTGGGATTTCTATGTTTCTTCACATCATCACATTTATAATGAGAAAATAGTTTACCTGGTGAACATCATTGACAGGGATATGAAATGTGCTATTCGAAAATATAAAGTGCTCCTCTGGTTTTCCAGGATACTTATATGAACTTGAGGCAAGATATAGAGTGCCACTCCCCTTGAGAACAACAAAAACTTCTTCGCAAGAGTGCCTATGGATTGGTGTGTGTGATCCTGGAGCAAATGTTTGAAGCCAAACTTCAACCTAAGGAAAATCCAAAAAGGTATCACATCCAACCCATAGAAAGTGATTCAGCATCTTCAATTTGCCTACTACATAAAATCAGAACTTATAACTATTTGTGAAAATTTGAAAGTAAGCCAAATTTACAAAAGGCAGTATTATATATCAAAAGAAACATCACAAACTAAATCTGAAAAAGGTTGGTATATTACGTAAGGCTTCTTTGAACCATATAAATTTCTAGGCGGTTTGGTTTTTATATGATTAATTATAAAAATTTTATAATATGATATTCTCTTTCATAGAAGAAAATTAGTATTACTAAAAACATCTCAAAGTGTCAAGCGAAGTAGGCTTTTCAATGGAGTAAGTGCATGCATACTTCTTTCAACCCATGCAAAAGAGAACCGGCAACAGTCATGTGGGATAAACCTCCTCTTCCATAATTACCCTGTGGAAGTTCACTGATGTTCTTCACCAGAGGGAACCCTGTATCAAAAACCCAAAAAATATATTATATTATTTCACAGAAAAAAAAAAAGCATGGAAAAGAAATGTAAAGAAATTCTGCTACTGTTCTTAATAAACTGGTTCCATATTTAATAAATAAAATGTACCCCATAAATCAATGATCAACAAACTGCTGCAACCTTCACTGTTTTTTCCAGTTTATATAAACCATATATGGCAAAAACTATACCAACCCATTTTGAAAACTGGGGCAAATAGGTGAAAGATTGGCTTCTTATGCATACCCAGAAAGGAAAAAAATGAATAAGGTTACCTTTGATGGAGCAGTGAGAAGCGTCAAGAGTTTGAGAGAATGAAAGCAAGTTTACGAGGAAGAAGAAGGAAACGAAGCAAGGTCCAACCATTTTCTCGCCACTTCTGCTGAAGCGTCGAGTCTGAAACCGGTCTTCTTAGTCCTCCTCTTTAAAAGTTGATCCAAATGGCCAGAGGCCCAAAGCCCAAGTCTCCACATGGGGCCTTTCCTATTTTGTCATGTTATCACTACAGTGCCACGTCAGAAAGTGCCACCAAAAAAAAATGTAACAGAATTTTTTTTTCTTCATAAGAAATATGGAAGTAGTAAGATTGTTTTCATTTTAGTTTTTGAGTTTATAGACGATACATTTTTTTGTGTATAATTTACTATATTATTTTTAAAAATTAATTTAATAATAAATTACATGATATTAATTCATTAATATATAAATATAAAATTTTTCAAGTTCAAAAAATAAATATGCAACTTTTAAAAAATATTTATTAATACAATGACATCATATAATTCATTGATAGTATTTAAGATTTATAAATCGATATTTCTTCAAAGATAATTTTTTTTTCTTATCTTTGAAAAACTTGAAGCTTTTTAAGATAATTAAATGTGGGTTTTAATTAGTTAAAAAGAGGGTTTTTTTTTTATAGAAAAAAGTTGTTAATTATTATGACCATGTGTCCACATGGTCACAAAAGGCAGTTAGGGCTAGACTAGATTGAAAGTATGAAGGATTTCTTTCTTTTTCTTTAAATTCTTCCTATATTTATTGGATTGAACATAGAAATTCAAAGGAAGAGAAAGGTTCTGAAGTGCTACTTTACTAATTTAACCAACAACATAAGGTCTATAGTTAAAAAAGTTTCTTTTGCATATTCTTCTTCGTGAAATTTGTTAAAAAGGACAACTAAAAAACATACAAAGTTCCAGAAGAGAATGGCCCCAAGTGCCAAGGCTGTTCAGGCCGTACGTACAAAAGTGCGGTAATTATTTATACAATTTTGATAATTTTTATAAAATTTTAATATATTTTAATAAATTTTTAATACAATTTTGATAGTCATTAATATAATTTTTGTATTAACATGTGATATAGCTTTTTAACTTTTCATATAATTTTGGTAACATTAATATAATTTTAGTAACTCTTAATAAATTTTTTGTAATATTTTATATAATTTTGATTATCATTGATATTGTGTTGATAATTTTTAATGCTTTTTTGTAATTATTGATATAATTTTACTAACCTTTGATATATTTTTTATATCTTTTGGTAATATTTGTTATAATTTTGACAATCTTTGATATGATTTTGATAATTTTTAACGTTGATTACCTTTCTTACAATTTTATAAATATTTGATGAAGTTTTGGTAACATTTTATACAATTTGGGTAACATTTGATATAATGTAGATAATCTTTAATTAAAATTTGGTAAATTTTTACCATTTTGATAAAATTTCATATAAGTTTGGGGTAATATTTAATATTGTTTTAGTAACTTTTACACAATTTTGATAACTTTAAATATAATTTTAATAAAATTTAATACAAAATTGGTAATTTTGATATAATTTTTTGTAATTTATCATGTAATTTTGATAGTAAATAATACAATTTTGATAATTGTTGATATAATTCCCCATAGTGGCTGGATCTCATTAACCCTTAGCGGTAAAAAAATTTCACTAGCTGTAGTTGGCTGCATTTTGATCTGCATCATGCCATAGTTGCATTTTCTCCTTCCTCTTCCTTCTTAATCTGTACGTGTTCCATTTCCTTTTGAGTGTTAATTTGATCGTAAGCTTTATATGTATCATTTACCACTGACAAGAATCCATTTCTTTTTTTTTTTTTCAGCCATACCCAGCCGGAGACAGATGTTCCTTTCTGCTGTAATGTTCAACTGCGCATTGGAGTTTGGCATGTGAGTTGTTGATAGATATAGATACCTAAAAGTAGAAACCATAGGATCAATGGATGATGATTCATTTTTCCGATGTGTTTCCAATTATTCTCTTATTTTTTCAGATATAAAAACAAGGCGTTTGTTGGGGTCAGCTTCTGCATTCAAGTAGGAAACAAATTGTTGTAAGTTGTAGCTACTGACTCCAATTCTGACAAAAATCTGTGCAGCATAAATGACGTTCATTTCAACCTTTTTTTTGTTTTGGATGATTTTTCATGAATGCTTGGTAAAGGAAATTCTTTCTTCCCTGAGTTCAAGAATGGATACCTTAGAGTTTATTCAAAGATAGAAACTCAAACCACACGATGATAATCTCACAGGTTTATCAGTTTAGATGTCAAACAAGAAGATGTCTGAAGAAATTCAGATCGTTAGATCTTCCAAATGGACTTTTGCCTTTACACATATAATTCCTGAGAAACAACAACTTGCAAGCTTAAATTTCAAAATAAAGAAAAAAAAAAAAAAGAAACAGCCAAGATTCCAAGAATATATTGCTCAAATGAAACAACCACACCCTGCCTTGTTAATCATGAACAATCTTCATTCTGGTTGTGCGTTGCTGCAGCAATCAGTTTAAAGAAAATTTATATCTCGCATGCATCAGTGATTCAGGAGTTTGAAAGCTTGGAATTGAAGCCAGTTCACTGAATTTCTACTCTGTTTTCTGTAGCCATCCAAGCTGTAGCAAGCACACATATATTCAGTAGGCAAAATTCTAGTAGAAAGTAATAGTAATAGTAAAAAAGAGGGAGATAATCCTAGCGCAGAAACTAGAAATTAAGTACCTTCCAGGCATACATGGCAAAGAAGGCTACGGTGTCTGCAGACCAGACAATTGCAAAAGACTTCCAAAAGAAAGGGATTATAACATTTAGCAAGGGGATGATGAGAAAGAGATAATTAAGGGCTTCTTTTTCATTCTTTGAACAGTCTCGAGCTCGAAGGGAAGGAATGGCTGTAAAGAAATAGGCAATTAGGAACTGAATAATGTTGTTCGTAGAACATGCAATAACTGCGATTTGAAACCATTGAACCAGAAAAGGCAATAAATAGTAGTAGTATTGGAGAAAAGCTTTAAGGCTGCGATAAGGAATAACTCACTGAACATCCAAATGGACCACATCCCCATCAATCTCCAAATATCAGGTTCATTTGATGGAAATATGAGATTGAAAGACAAAGCTCCACCCAACAGCAATGAGACGTAGCCTTGAACTTCAAAAACAGTATACAAGGCAGTTCCGGGCACGGCAGGGTTTTTAGTAGCGGTGGAAGCCCTCGGTGCAAAGGTTGCAGCAGTCTGCTGAACCACCTGTTGTCAATTGTAACATGCGAATATCCTCAAAATCGGCTTAAAACTTCAAAATCAAACAATTTCTCCATGTTAATTAAGAGAAACCAACTTGAAAAAAATGAACCTTTCTAAGGTCCTTGTCAAGCGGTGCAGTGGAAGGAGAGGAAAAGCTGGAGATGTTGTTGCTTTCTTTTTTGGGTTCAGATTCTAAAGTTTCTTCTTTGTGTTCTTCCTCAACTGTTTCAGTCCGAGTATCTACTTCATTTGTTGCTTTGGCATGTATTTGTAAGGCTTTTCTGCAACTGAGAAACCTGGGATTGTTGTTGTATTTGAAATTGAAAGAAGAAGTGGGTAAAGGGACCTTTGAAACGCCATAGTTGCAGAGAGGCGTTGACATCAACGAGAACATGTTGATCAACACCCTCTCAAACAATTGTCATTGAAATCCAAAAATTCTTGGAGGAAAAAAAATGGAGAGTGATAAGGAACACGAGGCTAATCTTTGCTGTTAAAACTGAAGCAATTATCACCTTTTAAACGACGCCGTTCCTTCTCGGACTACTGAAACTTTGACCAACCCAGCTCAGTTTCCCGTAAAACCCGCAGCAATATTCTATGACCATAATAGCCTCACACTTGAATTCAATTCCTCGACTTTTCAAAAGTAAAATAGAAACTATCTCGTCCCAAACAGGAAAAAGGGAAAAAAAATTTCCCATTGGCCTTTCAAAAAACCTCGCTTTACCACATGGAAATGTCTAAAATTTATTTACTTCATCCGTAAGTTTTGAAAAATCTTGCACGCTTTGCTTCCAAATACCTGATATTTCCACGTATTACATGCGAGACTTGCTGTTTGGACCGTTAGTTGGATGTTAGTAGCTTCCCGTAATTATAAAGCTTTAGGGCATAAGAAAATCATTTTAATTCATAAATATATACCCACCTATTTAGTTTTCCTCTTTACATTTTTAAGGACATAAGATTTTGAATTTTTGATGATTCGATTTTATCCATAATGCTAGAAAACCCCGTTAACTAAGTTCCGTTTATGCCCTTTATTCTTTCATTTGCTTTCCCCCACACCGCAAAAGCACATGACCCGAACTTTCTTGGAGGGGTTTCAATTCAAAATTCCTTCTTTCTATTCGTTTGGATGAAATTTTTGATTTGACGTGAAATGGGTTTTCATAGATTTTAATGGAAACTGAAAACCTATGAACAGATTTTGTCTTTGTTCTGAAGTGATCTGGTTTCGGTGGTATTAAAGAGCTAATCTGATGGGGAATTTTCTTGCTGGGTTTGTCTTGCCTCTGCTGCTTCTAACGGGTATGTTTTGGTACTTATTCTCATTACTTAATTTCCTATATTTTTTTAATCTTTTTCCTTATAGTTTGTATATAAGAGACTGAAAATTTCTTTTTTGTTCCATGTTCTCTCTCTCTCTCTCTTTAACAGCAATTCATTTTGTAGTGTTGGTTTTGTGTTGGAATCACTTTATCTATCCATTATGTGAGCTATGTTTATGAGTGCAGATGTTTATCAGTATAATTTAGTTGTCTGCGCATAAGTTTTCATTCTTGAACGCTGTTCCATGGGTAAATAACTAAGCTCGAATGCCAGAGGGATGTGCTAGGAAGTTGAGGAGAGTCTAAACCACCTTTTAAATTATCCAAGCTGGTATTAAGAGTGAGGAACCTTGTATCCTAAAATTTGTTTCCTGCTCACGAGTTCATATGGAGAACGCTAGTCTTTTCGTTATTTACGTGCAACCTGTTCAATTCATTTCATCCGTTGTTTGGATATTCACTTCTGTTTTAAAATAAGTCTATCTTGAATTAGACCAGTATCAAATATATAGGTTTCTAGTTTTTAAGGCTGGCAAAATCTAATTCCTGGATAGTTTGAACCTAGTTTAAAATTAGCTTGTGACACGGGACATCACGCAGTCTTTCTAACTATTCTGCATATTAGTTATTAATTGATTTTCTTCACTTTGGATCCTGAAAAGGTAACAAGTGTAGAAGTGTTTTATTAGTTAAAATTTAATCAGTTGAAATGTAAAAATTCCATTGGTACTCTTCTTGGTTAGGTACAGGTTGGTTTGTAATGGACCTTGAGGCCTGGTTTTAAGCAACGTACCATAGAGAGTTCATTTTAATTAACAGTAGTTGAAAGAACAGTAAATAGAGACTAAGAGAAATAAAGATCTCTGTAGAGGACTAACAGAGAGAAATATCTTCACCTAATATTGAGATTATCATTATATTCTTTTATGAGTTACTGTTTAAAAACTTCAATACAATTTTGTGCATATGCATATACAAATACATATGTGCACTGCCATCGAAGTAATTAATGGTTTTTACCTGTTTTTCCTTTCTTGAAGCTGCATTGATCAATTGGAGTTTGATATCTCTTGTTGATTTGATAGCTTTCCTTCTCATTCAACATACTGTGCCAACAATAGGTAAGCAATGAACATTTGCTGGTAAAATTTTGCTTTATCTTTGCCTTTCTTTAGTTCTAATATTCCATAATTCAGCAGGGTCATACATGTTTGACAATTTTACTTTAGATTTTATGCCGGTTGGTGCTTTATACTTAGGTGAAGTGTATATCTAATGAACTTTACAAAGTGCTTAATTGTAGTTTCAATGGCAGCAGTCTTTAATGCCAAAATAATCCCCAGTCTTTATTTTTTATATTTAAGAAAACTAGAAAAGGGGTTTGAGATATTTTCTGGACATCTTGCACTTTAGAAGTTTAACTTCTGTCTGTGATTCTTATTCCTTTAATGCTTCATTTGAAGTTGTTATCATTTCTTATAAAGTAACATAGGATTATTTTCTTGTAGGATTTCGTTTCCGGAGGAAATATTTGTTACTCTGGCCCATTATCATCTTTTCCATACTTTTTTTTCTTTCACAAGCTGTGTATCTTGTTATATGGGCCATTGAAGGTTATAAACAGAGTGCAGGCGAGGCTTGGTGGATGAAGCTAATTGGTTTTATGATGTAAGAATATATTTGGTTTTCTCTAATTCTTTTGTCCCTTCAGTGCATCTGCATATTTTGACAATTTGTCTCTTTGCTTATGCTTCTGCAGAATCCAGTCTTGGAAATCTCCTATTTTGATTTATTTCTTGGTCGTACAACTACTAGTGGTTTTCGTTGCTTTGCTTGATATACATGGGAACAGGTTTGGTCTTGTTCCATGGCGATATTCTTGTTGGGGTCATTTCTTAACAGCTCTTGAACGTTTAGGTTTGTAAGTATTTCCTTATTGTTCTAATTATTTCATTGTTGCACTATGTACTCTCCCTGCCCCAAAAAAGGACCCATTTACCAAACCAATATGCATGTTTTATGGTTCTATCATTGCATGCAGAGGATATGATTTTGTTAAATGATTCAATCATGTTCAACACCCCTCCCCTCAATTGCGCCCTTCTAAAGCAGTTGTGAAGTCTTGTTGTTATCTTCTTTTCGTTCGGGATCCATGATAGTATATTTTTGTGATCTTTGGAATATTTTTCTTCTGCTCTTTTGGTCCTTATGAACTTCAGGTGAAATTACTGAGCTCTGTAGCCTACTTGAAAGCTTATCAATTAGCTACTAGAACTTCTAAGTCAATATTTTGCCTCATATGATCTTGTCAGATGTAAGGTTCTTGTCATTCTAGTCCAGTAGTAATAAAATTACATCTTGAGTTTTCTGTGAGCAAAGGTGCTTGGTATTTTATGCATTACAGCTCTGCTGTAACTATGAGTTGTATTTCTGACAAATTGATAATGTATGTGCAGAATGAATTAATAATATATAACAATGTGTCTGCCTGACAGGCTGCTATTTCATGGGTTAGTCAACTGAAATCATTGTGTTGCTTAACTGAATTCTAGTCAACATTGTACCTTTTACATATAATATCGATGCCCATTAAGGCTTCTCTGTTGTGAAGGAATTGGTACTTGTGTCAGTCTCTTACACTAAGGAAAAAGAAAGAAAAGTTTAAACTATCTTGAAGCATTTCTTTCTTAATCTTTATTTTGCTTCAGTTTCTGAACTTAAATTACAGTAGAGTTTTTATTTTAGTTTTGTTTATAATCCCGCATATTTAAATTTAAATTGAAACTGATATAGAATTGTTTCCATGGTTTGCTTCATGAAAGGTTCCCATCTTAGAGTTGCTTCCTGTTTGCTTCTACCTGCTATTCAGCTGGTTGTGGGAATTAGCCATCCCTCATGGGTTTCTCTGCCATTTTTTATTGGTAGCTGTGTTGGGCTAGTGGATTGGTCTTTGACAAGCAATTTTCTAGGATTATTCAGGTGATTGCCTTGTGACTCTTTGTACATCACTGACCTTTGTTCTATTTCCCTTTCTTTATCTTTGAATTTGTTTTTACCATTTGTTAATACCTTTAGTAGCTTATGTTCTGGTACTTTCTTCTCAAGGTTGTGGAAGGCTCTCCAGCTTTATGCAGGCTTCAACATTGTCTTGCTTTATGTATATCAGCTCCCTATAGAGTTCTCAAATATGTTACAGAGGATAGCTGATTTTGTTGGTCTATTCAAAATATCTTCAACATCTGAGTGGCCTGAGATTTGCTCCGCTGTTTCTCTCATGCTTTTTTACATCATGGTATGTACTAGTTGTATTACTATAGATTTGATTCTGTTTAAAGATTCTAGCTGAACCTTGAAGTGCAAAACACGCTTCCTTCTTCCTAGAATATTAGATTCTGCAATTCACTTCATTTTAGTCTATCAAGTGTCTGACATTTGTCCTTCTAATTTAGTCTTTCCTGATCTTAAAATTTTAAGATGGTTTGAAGTTCTTTAAATTTCCCCACATTGATATGAATTATTCAGTTGCAAAGTAGACTTTGAAGTTTGGATGACATTGTTGGCATTCTGGATGCAATGTTAATTCAATTTACTTGGTAAAATTGCACTTGGAAAATTTGAGAGCTTCCTGGTCTGAGACCACATATTTATAGTATATGTTCATAATAGTTTTTGATAAGTTAACTTATGATTATAAAGAGATAATATAACTGAGGACAAGATTAGTGCAGCTCCATGCATGTGCATAATACATGTTCTGTTGTGAATTTCTTTACCGTTGGCAGGTTAAGTTTTGCCTAATAATTATATAGAGATGCTAACTGTGAAGTTTTTGGATTACTTGTACGACATAGTTATGCTAACTGTTGAAAATATCTTCTTTATTTATGTGCTGTTTTTTGGTCTTGCTATTTAAATATTTTTACTTTAGTGCAGCTATCCTATGTCAAATGTGATTTGGAGGAAATGGATTTCATCATGTCCATGCAAGAAAGTAACTTGACAGAGCAACTACTTCCCTCAAAGCATTCATTCTTCATTCGTGAATCAAGGTAACATACTTTTTTTATGTTATACCTGATTCTTCCAGTGTTATCTGCTTTGAATTCTTAAAGAGGGAAAATATTTATCAATACACTATTAAATTTCAAACTCAATGGTACTTGATTTATTCATAGATTTAGTCCATTTCTTGCATTTATAATCTAGAAGTAGCTTATTAATTCAAATAACCATTTCTTGCATCTGTATCTATTCTGGAAATTTTCTCTTTTTCCTAACCTAAAGGTGTTTACCTATGCTTTACTATTTTGAGGAAGTTTTTCTATGTTTAATAGAGTTGTTCTGTAAAGAAGATGCGGTAGTAAGAGGATACCAAGATAAAAAAGAATAAATTGTCTGATTCAAAATTATGAATTGGCTACTTTCCACAATTATATTTTGCAGAATCAGAAACAATCCTTTTGAATTATTTGAATTACCAGTACTCATTTTAATTCACATTTTTCTTTTCTGCTAGCTTTATAAACTGTTTTTTCATCAACATGTTTGTTTTGGATCTGATAAACTACACTGCACAAGATGTTCATGCGTCATTTGTGCTTCTGCTTTTCTTTTTCAAAAAAAAAAAAAAAAGCTTTAAAGGATGGGTTGTTTTGAGTTCCTTAATGTGTTAATTCTAATTCTCCAGATCTGGTGTAAGGCACACCAATGTTTTACTGCGAGGGGCAGCTTTCCGGACTTTCACCATCAATTTTTTCACTTATGGTTTTCCAGTATGATCACTACCTTTTATTAGATTTCGCTATTCCCTCATAGGTCTTTATTTAATTTTATCAATATCAAGGTTTATATTTTAATTGTCACTGGAAAATTTTGACAGGTATCCTTGTTTGCTCTTTCCTTTTGGAGTTTTCATTTTGCAAGTATATGTGCTTTTGGGCTACTTGCATATGTTGGCTACGTTGTGTATGCCTTTCCTTCCCTGTTCTGTTTGCACCGGTTAAATGGGCTCCTCCTTGTTTTCATTCTCTTGTGGGCTGTTAGCACCTATATATTCAATGTGGCATTTGCATTCTTGAATAGGAATTTTGGGAAGGTACTCATCTCTTTTGGAGGTTTGCAAATTCTTCGTTATCATAAATTTAAATGTTCAAATTTCTTTTTTCTTCTGTTTTTTGGACACATTCAGGATATGGAAATCTGGGAGATGGTTGGATTTTGGCATTATCCCATACCTGGATTTTTTTTGCTTGCACAATTTTGTCTCGGAATTTTGGTTGCTTTGGGTAATCTTGTAAATAATTCTGTTTTCCTCTACTTATCTGATGAGGATGCACCATCATCAAACAACAAGTCTGCTGTGGAAGGTATGAAATCCTATATTATGAGTGCTATCTAATTCTTTTTTGGCATCTGCATTTTGAGGACCATTGTTAGGTTGGCTTCTGAATATATCTTTACAGTTCCTCAGCAAGGGAATATTTCTAAAGTTGTGCATTTATGGAGTGAGATTTCTATTTTACAACAGTGAGCTTGAAGGATTGTTACCTTTTTGTTTAAGATATCACTAAAAATTTTCTTTTGATGTTTTTGCTTCCTGACAGCACATAAAACACATTATTTTCTCAGGTTTTATTTCATTGTATCTACTACTCTGGCATGGTCTTTGGACTACTTCCTGCTTCTTTCTTATCTATGTTTTGATTATTTATGGATACAAAAAGGGTGGCAATTATACTTTAATCTATATAATCACTTTCTCATGTCCATTATTTACAGTGGATGGAGAGACCAAGGTGTTCATTGTGGCTACAATTGCATGGGGACTGCGCAAATGTTCTCGAGCTATCATGCTTGCACTGATATTTATCATAGCAATGAAACCTGGATTCATCCATGCTGTATATAGTATGTTTTATTAAATCTTGTCTGTTCTAGTTCGTAATTAAGTTATAAATTGACTTTTAGCATAAGACATTTTGTCCAATGTTCTTATACGATTCACATAAGCAATTGAAAAGTGGTATTATTACTGTGAGTTTGTCCAGGGCACTTTCTAATTGGCTTTATGTTCTTACCCCTGCTTCAGTGGTTTTCTTTTTGATCTATCTTTTGGGCCACAACATCAGCAGAAAGATACGCCAGTCTCTGATTCTTCTTTGTGAAGCTCACTTTGCATCGTTGTACCTTCTTCAAATTGATGTGATCTCTAATGCTTTGGAGCAAAAAGGCTCTTTAATTTTGGAAATCATATCACAGTTAGGTATGCATTTGTTTTAGGTCATTTAATTTGATTTATTAGACATGATTATGGCTATCAATTAACTTTCATAAGGGCTTTTTCTTTTGACTTAAGATGAAACTCTTGCCCAGGAAAGAGAAATGAACTAAACAATCTTCTCTGAATTGATGCAGGTCTTCTTAAACATCACAGCTCTTGGAACTTTCTAGAAATAGCTTTGCTTGCTTGCTTCTGTTCAATTCATAACCATGGGTTTGAGATGCTATTTTCATTCTCAGCAATTGTGCAGCACACCCCTAGCCCTCCTGTTGGTTTTAGTATCTTGAGAGCTGGTCTGAACAAATCTGTCCTCTTGTCAGTATATGCATCTCGAAACACATCCTACAGCCATGATAATCCTTCTTATGGTATAATCTCTTTTTTGCATGTCAAAATTTCTGTCCAAATTTGACTGTAATAATTGAAAATGCAAAGACCTACAAAAAGGGTTCATTTTCCAATATTAGTTGCAAATGCTAAAAGAATTTTAATAGGTAGTCCTTTATTTTATCTTATTTGAAATGAAGGTAGGAATGTCATGTTCATGATGTGTCACAAACTTAGTAGTAAGATTGACCTTTTTTTTATATGTCTGGAATTATACTCTGGATGGAGAGCTATTTACTTGATAGATTGCTTGCTCTACAATTCATTCAAAGATTATAGCAAACCAAAACTAGGACAAGTTGGTATTATCCCAGTATTATGTGCAGGTTTTATGATCTAAACATGATAGGGAATGCTTTTAGATTATTTTGTAGCTGGTTCTTAGCCTGATCTTCATCCTCTATGAGATGACTGCTTTCTCATGAAATTGGACATTTTAGGAGTCTTCAATGTTAGCTGTATCTAAGCCATTTTTTTCATTATAATAATGTGTTGTTGCTGTTACTGATTTGTCTACCAATATTCCCATTACCACTTCTAGCTGCATTGCTCTATTTTGACAGCATTGTATACTTACTTGTTTTATGTAATTTCAGAGAGAAGGATAGCGTCATTCCTTAGTGAAATTGGGCAGAAGTTTTTGTTGATATATAGATCATGTGGAACCTACATTGCTTTGCTGACCATTCTTCTTACAGTATACATGGTGACACCCAACTATATATCATTCGGATACATCTTCCTTCTCCTTGTTTGGATTATTGGAAGACAACTTGTTGAGAGAACAAAAAGGCGCCTATGGTTTCCACTAAAAACATATGCAATCATGGTATTCATTTTTGTCTATAGCCTAAGCAGTTTTACTAGCTTTAAGATTTGGTTGTCTGGGTTTATAGATCTGCATTTTTATTTGGGATATGAGCCTGAAGCTTCATTGTTGGATAATATTTGGCAATCTCTAGCAGTTCTAATTGTGATGCAACTTTATAGCTATGAAAGGAGGCAGAGCAAGTACAACAGGACTGATTATCCCAATCCTTTAGACTCTGGGGTACTTGGCTTTACCAAGCGGGTTCTGATTTGGCACAGCCAGAAGGTCCTGTTTGTCTCTTTATTCTATGCGTCTTTGTCTCCAATTTGTGCTTTTGGATTCTTGTATCTACTTGGCCTTGTCCTATGTTCAACTTTACCCAAAGCTTCTCGGATCCCATCCAAATCATTCTTAGTTTATACAGGATTTCTGGTGACAACAGAGTATCTTTTTCAGATGTGGGGTAAACAAGCTGGAATGTTTCCAGGGCAAAAGCATTCTGATTTGTCACTCTTTTTGGGTTTCCGTTCATATGAGCTGGGATTTTGGGGTATAGAATCGGGCTTGAGGGGAAAGGTGCTGGTAATTGCTGCATGCACCCTTCAGTACAACGTCTTCCGTTGGTTGGATAATATGCCAAGCGTTTTTTCAAACAAAGGCAAGTGGGAAGAGCCTTGTCCTTTATTTTTGTCAGCAGAGGATACCTTCACCGATGGCTTCATGTCTAATAGGGAAGATAAGCCATCTTCTAGTGTTGGGGCAGTACCTATAAGACAAGAAAGAGCAGCAAACAATTCATGGTCATCTTTGAGCCCCGCTTTTTCTCAAGCACCTCATCCTGTGTCTTCCAAAGCAGGAGACTCTGAGGTTAGAAGTGAGAGAAAATTTTCGTTTGGATATTTCTGGGGAAGCGCCAAGGAGAGTCATAAGTGGAACAAGAAGCGGATCCTGGCATTAAGGAAAGAGAGATTTGAAACACAGAAGGCTGTCTTAAAAATATATTTGAAATTCTGGATAGAGAACATGTTTAACCTTTATGGCCTTGAGATTAACATGATTGCTTTGCTTCTCGCAAGTTTTGCTTTGTTGAATGCCATCTCTATGCTGTATATTGCATTACTTGCTGTCTGCGTTCTTTTGAGTCGGCAGATTATACGTAAATTGTGGCCAGTGCTTGTCTTCTTGTTTGCTTCCATTCTCATCCTTGAGTATTTTGCCATCTGGAAGACAATGTTTCCTCTGAATCAACATAAACCAAGTCAGACTGAAATACTTTGCCATGACTGCTGGAGAAGCTCAACTTCATATTTTCAGTATTGCAGGAGCTGTTGGCTGGGTATTGCTCTCTTAATCTGCCTATTAATTGCACCTTCAATAGGCTAGATAAGCACAGGACAATTTATACTTTGCTTTTGACTGGTAGAAGAAAATTTGACTTATTTTAATGATTCTTATTAGCATGATCCTATATGCTACTTGGTCATGTCTTTTCCTTTTTTTTTTTTTCTGTCTAAATGAAGTGTGGTATATTTGATATGGACATTTGAACAATTTTTAGACTGATTTCTAACTCAGCTTTAACTCGCTTAAGCTTGGAAGAGTTGGGGTTATTCCTGTCAATTGTCCATGTTTTTCTATCTATTCATTATTTAATTTTGGTATATGTGCATTTTAAAGAAAGTTCAAACAAATCTGCTAATCATACCCCCTTTTCCTGCAGGACTAATCATTGATGATCCTCGAATGCTTATCAGCTATTTTTTCGTCTTTCTGCTGGCTTGTTTCAAACTCCGTGCAGATCACTTGTCTGATTTCTCAGGGTCATCAACATATCGGCAAATGATGTCTCAACGTAAAAATTCATTTGTTTGGCGAGATCTCTCTTTTGAAACCAAAAGCATGTGGACCTTTCTTGACTACATAAGGCTTTATTGTTATTGCCATCTATTAGACCTTGTCCTTGTATTGATTTTGATAACTGGAACTCTTGAGTATGATATTCTGCACCTTGGTTATCTTGCTTTTGCTCTTGTTTTCTTCCGGATGAGGCTTGAAATTCTCAAGAAGAAGAATAAAATATTCAAGTTCTTGCGTATCTACAACTTTGTGGTCATTGTTCTTTCTCTTGCATATCAATCTCCTTTTGTAGGGGAGTTTAGTTCTGGGAAGTGCAAGACTGTGAACTACATATATGAAGTCATTGGATTTTACAAGTATGACTATGGGTTTCGAATTACTGCCAGATCTGCACTTGTTGAGATTATCATATTTATGTTGGTATCCCTTCAGTCATATATGTTTTCCTCCCCAGAGTCTGATTACGTGTCACGATATCTCGAAGCAGAGCAAATTGGTGCCATTGTACGCGAGCAGGAAAAAAAAGCTGCATGGAAAACTGCACAGTTACAACAGATTCGTGAATCTGAGGAGAAGAAACATCAACGCAACTTGCAAGTGGAGAAGATGAAATCCGAGATGCTTAACTTGCAAATACAGCTTCATAGCATGAACTCAGTTGCAACTCTGCCTGATGTGTCTCCTGATGATGAAGGCCTACGGAGGAGGAAGAGTGCTTCTCTTGCTTCAAATAGGCATGTTGGACCTTCTGACAAAGAGGAAGGCACTCTTTGGAAGCAAGAGCAAATAATTAAAGAGGATTCAGTATTCCCCCTTGAAGCACATGCGTATAAGGCTCATATGAAAGGAGAAAGTCCTGAAGTAGTGGAATCTCCAAAGAATTCAATGGAATATGCACCTTGTGAGATCACCGAAATTGAACATGATGGTGATAGTGCATTTTTTGATGTAGAGAGATGGAGGAAAAGCCAAATAAAGGAAAATCCTTTGATTTCTGCAGTACACCTCCTAGGTGATGGTGTTTCCCAGGTACAGTCTATTGGAAATCAGGCAGTTAATAACCTTGTGAATTTCTTGAACATTGCACCAGAAGATTCAGAAATGAATGAGCGCTCATCTGTTGAGGATGAGGCATATGATGAGATGGAGAGCCAAAAGATGCAGAATATGTGTTTCAACCGTTCATCTTCTCTGCAATCTGATAAAAGTTCCGATGCTACGAGTTTGCAGCTAGGGAGGATCTTATGCCATATATGGTCCCAAATGCAGTCTAATAATGATGTTGTGTGCTACTGTTTGTTTTTCCTTGTCTTTCTATGGAACTTCAGTTTGCTTTCTATGGTGTATCTTGCAGCCCTTTTCTTGTATGCTCTATGTGTGAATACCGGCCCGACTTATATCTTCTGGATTATTATGTTGATTTACACAGAGGTTTATATTTTGCTTCAGTATCTGTATCAAATTGTAATCCAGCATTGTGGATTGACTATTAATTCAGACCTACTCTATGAAATAGGGTTTCCTGCTCATGAAATCAAGTCATCATTTGTTGTGAGTTCGTTGCCTCTATTTCTTGTCTACTTATTTACCCTCTTACAGAGCTCTATAAGTGCAAAAGATGGAGAATGGATGCCCTTTACTGACTTTGACTTCCATAGGAGGAGTTCTCTTCATAGAAATGAGGTTCTTGTGAACTATAGCTGGAGTGAAAGGGTATCGGAGTTGCTCCAATTTGTAATAAATATGGTGAAACTGTTAATTAGAAGCTTCTGCTGGTACTGGAAATCATTAATACAAGGAGCGGAAACTCCTCCTTATTTTGTTCAAGTGTCAATGGATGTTCATTTGTGGCCAGAGGATGGGATTCAGCCAGAAAGGGTTGAGTCTGGAATAAACCAACTGCTCAGGCTAGTTCATGATGAGAGATGTGCTGAAAAAATTCCTAGTCATTGCCCATTTGCTAGTAGGGTTCAGGTTCAAAGCATTGAAAGAAGTCAAGAAAATGAAAACGTGGCTTTGATTGTTTTTGAGGTGGTGTATGCATCTTCTTTGAAAGGATGTATCTCAGCTGATTGGTACAAGTCACTAACCCCAGCAGCTGATGTGGCAAAAGAAATTCTCAAGGCACAGCATGCTGGGTTTGTTGAAGAGATAGGATTCCCGTACCAAATACTCTCTGTAATAGGTGGTGGAAAAAGGGAATTTGATCTGTATGCATACATATTTGTTGCTGATCTGACTGTGTTTTTCTTGGTCGCAATTTTCTACCAATCTGTCATTAAGAACAACAGTGAATTTCTTGATGTTTATCAACTAGAAGATCAATTTCCTATAGAGTTTGTGATTATCTTAATGGTAAGTCTATTTCTTCTTTCTCTTCTAAGCACCTTAACTTGCATGAGTATTTCTCATGGCTTAGTTTTCTTTTTCTTTGCATTCTGTCTTGGGCTATTATGGCCTAGATGTGCTGTGATCTAATTCCTAACTGGGTCAAATTCTTTCATGCAGATCATCTTTTTCTTGATTGTTGTTGATCGCATACTGTATCTCTGTTCATTCGCTACAGGAAAAGTTATTTTCTACCTTTTCAACCTCGTTCTCTTCACATATTCAATTACAGAGTATGCTTGGCAGATGAAACCTTCTGACCAGCAAGCCGGACGGCTAGCACTCCGTGCTATATTTCTTGCTAAAGCAGTTTCTCTAGCACTTCAGGCTGTACAAATCCGGCATGGAATTCCTCATAAAAGTACCTTGTTTCGGCAGTTTTTGACCAGCGAGGTTTCACGAATTAATTACTTAGGCTATAGACTTTATCGGGCTCTACCATTCCTTTATGAATTACGATGTGTACTCGACTGGTCATGCACAACAACATCTTTGACCATGTATGACTGGCTCAAAGTAAGTCCAGAGTTTTTTTATTATTATTACTATTATTTTTTTAGCTTTGCATTAAAATTTAAGTTGTTTCAGTTGGCTGTCCTTTTGGAAATTATGCAGTAAATGTGATCAAGGACAGATCTTGGGATTTCTTACAATGTAGCTCATAGTGGCTTATATTCAAGAAACTTGGTGATTTTAGGGTAGGAAACAGGTTAAGCTTTAGGAAATAGAAAGGGGGGGGGGGGGGAACATCCAGGTTTAGGATCTTTTTGGTTTCTGGAAACAGAAGTTAGGTTCCAGGAGAATCTGGACAGTGATTATTTCATAAGTATGTGAGCTTAGGTTAGGGGCTCTATGTGAGGAGAGTTTCTAGGGTTGCAACACTGGCTTTTGGAGACACTAAGGAGGAAATAAGGTTTTGGTTGTGATTAATTTGAAGAATAATGAAGATGCCTACTTGCATGTGTGTGTGAGAGAGAGAGAAATGCCTTCAATAAACCAAAGTAGTCAACAGGTCATTGTTTCTTTAATCAAAATGCTAGTAAATTATAAAAGGTACATAAGTATCTATGCAGACCCTTGGGCTATTTATCGTCTTGCTAGGGCTATGACTCAATCTGTAAACTAACTATAAAACAAGCAAATAAACATTTGAAGATGTTTCATGTTAGGTTGGATGCCCGAAGTCAGGTAATACCCCATTTTTTATTTACTATTCACTATGTTGTTGCTTTGTATTTTGTTTTCCTGGTGGTTGGTACATTTGTTTCACTTGTAAGTTTTCTTACCCCACATCAGTTAAATTAAGGGTTTGTTGTGCTCTTATATTCAGGTTGCACCCTCTACCATAGATAGGATACTTGACAGGAGAACATACACTAAACTGGAAAAGTTGCCCTGATTCTTCAAGGATCTAGACGTGAAGAAAATTATGATTTTGTTCCTGCAAAATAAAAAATGTACAACTAAGAACAAAAACTTGTTGCATGGCTTCATCCAACTGAGTATATACTATTACTACAATCAACTGGTGAATTCTGCCAGCCCAACCCTGCCCTTTCTCGTTCAAAAATAAAACAGAAAAAATTTGTAGATAACATGAACTTGGGGAAGTTATTTGGAAAAATAAAGAAAGTACCACTGCCAACTGCTAGGACCTTATCTATTAAAAATGCAGGCAAGTATGCCATTTATTGCTCATGAATTATAAATTTATGGCTGTCAGATCAGGAATTTCTTTTTTGAAGTCTTGACATGTATCCTTTGGCATCATTCCTATATCAGTGCTACAAAAGATAAATGCAAAGATAACTTTTTTTCTTAATATTTTCCAAGAAAGATTTTTGTATTATCTATTTATAAAGAATAGTTGCTTTGAGCTTTAGTGAGCAAGGATTCTTTGATTAGAGTGTTTTCTTGCTGATTTTTAGAAACTGACATTTAACTTTTTTCTTAGCTGGAAGACATAAATGCAAGTCTGTACCTTGTCAAATGTGATGCAGTGTTGAATAGAGCTAAGCACAAACAAGGAGAGAAGCAAACAAAAATGACCAAGTGCTGCAATGGAATATGTCTTTTCTTTATATTAATTTGTGTTATCTGGGCTCCTATGCTGGTAAGGGACTTCATAACCAGATGTACTATCTGCATAATATATTTTTCAATGTATGGTACCTACTACATCGAAAGCATTTGAGAAACTTTTCTCAGAAGGGATTCCATTTCATTATTGCCAACTTCTTGTGCCTTTTCATTCCTGGTCTGCTAGGATCTGTTTTTGTTTCGTAATTTTCTTTGTGGATAGGGAGTCATGTCTACACATGGTCTAGGTGTCCACCACCACTGAATATGTAAAGCAAACATTTAAGTTAGCAATGTTGTGCATGAAGCATTATAAAATTACTCCATGTTCTTGGATGTAATATTTACTGCTAATTTCTTGATTTCTCATATTGTTGTGCCTGGACATGGAAAAGAGCCATGGGATTTTATAATTTATGGATGTGCTAATGTGGCAATGAGGAAAACGTATAATGTGAAGAAATTTTAATATTTTGATTCGACCCATCAAATTTATGTTCCTTTTGTAATTCTAGATCATCATACGTAAGACCAGCTGTCCCTTTCCTTTACAATTCTTCTTAGGATTTATGATCATGGTTCCCCTGTAACAATTAGATTCCATTGCTTGAATGTATTATGTATATCTCATACACTCAGGGTTCTTTATATCGTTACTTTGAAGTTTGTAAAGTATTGGCTGATGATCCAAGGAGTTCTGTCGTAGTTTAAAATTGTAAAACAAGTGTTATGTGATATTAAACTTAAAGTTGACAACATAACATGTTACATTTGTCTTGCCAAAAGTAATGACATTGTTATTGTACTGATAGTGCCTATTGGCATCATTAATGCTGTTACCAGAAGTCATACACAACCATGAATGTCTAGGTATATCTTTACGTGTGATTAGGTGAAAGAAGCATTCTATATCTTGACCAGTTAATAAAATTTATTTTGTTTGGTTCTGCCAGATGTACAGCAGTGGCAATCCGACAAATATTGCAAACCCCATTAAAGATGCAAGTTTTCAAGCAGATATTAGTACTGGTGGTGGAAGGTTGACCTTGTATCAGACAACTCTTTGTGAAAAGCTACAATGGGATAAGCTCAATTCTGATGTTAATCTTGATCCCTTTAATTATTTGGACGCCTACAATGAGAATGATATACAACTGATATGCTGCCAAGCTGATGCGAGTATTTCATGGCTTGTCCCTGATGTCGTTCAGAGAAGATTTATTCAGTCCCTTGACTGGGATATGGACATGGGTATCACTTCTACTTGGCTACTTTCAAGGGAACGACCAAAGGGCAAGGAAGTCGTGAAATATGAGAAACCTCTTGAGTCTAAGGATCTTCCAGGACGATCTGATGTCCAAAAGGTTCTCAATGGTTCTACAAACAGCTTCAGGATATATAATCTTTATCCAAGATACTTCCGTGTCACCGGTTCTGGTGAAGTCAGGACTTTTGAGCAAGAGGTAAACACGACATTTTTTTGTTTCTCTCCGCCTCCCTCCCTCTATGATACATCAGTTAGTGTGTGCTTGACAGAGTGGAAAAATGGAAGGATGGAAAGGGGATGATGGAATAGTGTAAGAATATGAATTTTGGGTGTGCTTGGTATGAGAGAAAAGTGAGAAGAAGAAAATGAGAACAATGACCATTTTTAACACTCATTCACAAAAGCAAATCATTCTAAATTAAAAAGATAGGATGAGAGAATGAAAAAGGTGAGTAAGCGTTACATAATTACAATATTGGTCATCATTGTTTTTTCTCCAATTTTTCATCTTTCCTCAAGCACACCAATGGAAAGAAAAATATGGTTTCCATCTTCTCACTTTTCTCCTCCAATTTTCCATCTTTCCAATTTGTTGTCCACCCTACCAAGCAAAGCCTTAGTTCTGTTTTCCATTGTTAACATTTTTTCATCTCTAATCACTTATTAGTAAAAATGTTATTTACTATCCTTTATCACTTCATTTTAAGCTATTGATCTTTTAGTCAATAGGAAAATGACTGTCTAAATTAAAGATAGTTATAAAAGTTATGTAACTGAAGAAATCTCTAGAATAAAACCATTTTATTCTTCTATATTTTTCTTATTATAATACTAGAATTGCATGAAAATATATAGGCTAAAGACTTTTAAAACCCAAGATTTTCATGCATTAAAACAACTAATCAAAGGAGTAATTTACTCTCTACACATAATAGGAAAATATCTAATGGATTTGGTGTAATTACCCAAATCACTCCTTATTTTAAAATTAAGAGACTTAACTAAAATAGATAAAGTCAACTAATCAAGTAATAATGAAGATTATATTTCCACACTCCTCCTCAAGCTGGGTGGTAGATGTCAATCATGACCAGCTTGGACTTCAGATTCTCGAAGTTATTTTGAGAGAGAGCCATAGTGAGTATGTTTGCAGTTTGAAGGCATGAGGAAGTATAAATTTATCTAACAATTCCTTCCTTTATCTTCTCTTTGATGAAGTGATGATCAATCTCCACATGTTTAGTCCTATCGTGATGAATAGGATTCTTTACTATACTTATAGCAACTTTGTTGTTGCAGAATATCTTCATGGATTCTTCTGCAGAGAGCTTTAACTCCTTTGGTAATATTTTCAGCCAAATTCCCTCACATATACCATGAGATATAGCTCTAAACTCAACTTTTGCGCTACTTCTAGCTGCCACAGATTGCTTCTTACTTTGCCAAGTAACCAAAGTTCCCCACACGTAAGTACAATAACCAGTAGTTGATCTTTGGTCAATAACGGATCTAGCCCAATCAGCATCAGTGTAAATTTCAACATTTTGGTATGATATCTTTTTAAGAAATAACCCTTTGCCAAGACTCTTCTTTATGTACTGTAAGATTCGATAGACAACCCTTAAGTGTTTCTCGGTTGGATTGTTCATGAATTTGCTTACCATGCTAACTGAAAAACCAATATCTAGTCTTGTATGAAAGAGGTAGATGAGTTTCCCTACAAGTCTTTGATATTTGCCCTTATCTGATAGTGGACTTCCTTCTTCCATTCCTACCTTATTCATTGTGTCCATAGGGGTGTTAGTAGGTTTGCATCCAAGCATTCTGGTTTTCTTTAGTAAGTCTAGGACATACTTGCACTGTGAAACGGAGTTGCCATTTCTTGAGTGAGCTACCTCCATGCCAAGAAAATATTTGAAGTGTCCCAAATCTTTGATTTCAAATTCTTTGGCTAGGAGGTTCTTTAGGTCGCTAATTTCTTTCACATAGTTTCTAGTAAGAATAATGTCATCCACATAGACAAGAAGAATGGCTATTTTTCCTTCAAGTGAATGTTTGACAAACATGGTGCGATCGGTCTGGCATTCTAAAAAACCATACTTCTTGTGGAAAAATGAGAGTATATTGAAAACTTGTATTTGAATCATACAAACACCATAGATTTAAATACAACTAACTGGAGAGTAAACTAAGAAACTAAATATTCCTAAATCTAATCCCTATAATCAAGGAATTGTCTATCCTGATATTCTGTCTTTAATTCTAGAGATACAAATTCTCAATTTTAGGGATACAGATATATACAGATTACAAAATACAACCACTTGTAACTAAATGTTTTCCCACACTCCCCCTCAAGCTGGTGAATAGGTGTTTTCCATTCCCAGCTTGGAAATAATTTCCTGAAATGTCGCACTGTTGAGGCCTTTAGTCAACACATCTGCAAGTTGACCCTTGGTTGATACATATGGGGTGCAAATCAATCCACTGTCTAGCTTTTCCTTTATGAAGTGCCGGTCTACTTCAATGTGTTTTGTTCTGTCATGTTGCACAGGATTGTGTGCAATGCTTATTGCAGATTTATTATCACAGTAAAGTCTCATTGGTCCATCCCATTTGATCTTCAAATCTTCTAGAATGATCTTTAACCATAGTAGTTCACAAATTCCTTGAGCCATTGCCCTAAACTCTGCTTCAGCACTTGATCTTGCCACCACATTCTGTTTTTTACTCCTCCAAGTTACAAGATTACCACCTAGAAAAGTGCAGTAGCCTGAGGTAGATCTTCTGTCAGTTACTGAACCTGCATAATCAGCATCTGTATATGCCTTTAGTACCAACCCTAAATTTCTTTTAAACAAGATACCTCTCCCAGGATTGGCCTTCAAATAGTGTAGTACACGGTAGACAGCCTGTAGGTGTACTTCTTTAGGGCTATGCATAAATTGACTTATCGCACTCACAGCATATGCTATGTCAGGTCTAGTATGTGAGAGATAAATAAGTCTTCCAACTAATCTCTGGTACATCTCCCTATCTACAACAGTATCTTCATTAGCTTCTCCAAGCTTATGATTAGGATCTATAGGGGTACTTGCAGGTTTACATGCGAGCTTCCCAGTTTCCTTCAAAAGATCCATCACATATTTCTGTTGTGAGATAAAAATACCATGACGTGAGTGGGCTACTTCAATTCCTAGGAAGTATTTCAATCTCCCTAGTTCTTTTATCTCGAATTCTCTGGCCAAACACTGTTTTAGAGACTCTCTTTCTTTTTCATCATCTCCAGTTACAATTATATCATCAACATATACTAATAGAATTGTGACCTTACCCGAATCTGAGTGCTTGATAAACAGTGTGTGATCCCCTTGACTCTGTTTATATTTCATTCCTAGCATCACTTTGGCAAATCTCCCGAACCAGGCCCTAGGAGACTGTTTAAGGCCATATAAAGCCTTTTTTAGCTTGCATACTTTTTGTGCTTCTAGATGACCCCCAAATCCCAGTGGAACTTTCATATATATTTCTTCTTCCAAATCACCATGTAAAAAGGCATTCTTTACATCAAATTGTTGAAGCTGCCAATTGTAATTTGCCGCCAAGGATAATAAAATCCTAACTGTATTCATCTTGGCAACTGGAGCAAAAGTTTCCTGATAATCCACTCCATAAGTTTGAGTGTAGCCCTTAGCCACCAACCTGGCCTTGTATCTTTCAATAGTACCATCTGCCTTATACTTTACAGTGAAAACCAATTTACACCCAACTGGATGTTTTCCTGCAGGCAACTCTACCAGTTTCCATGTCTTATTTTTCTCTAAGGCCTCCATTTCTGTTTTCATCGCCTGCCTCCATTTCTCATTGGATAATGCCTCAGATAATGTAGTTGGAATAGAAATAGTGTTTAGGCTCACAAGAAAATTTTTATGAGATGGTGAAAACTTTTCAAATGACACAAAATTAGAGATTGGGTATAATGGATGTTTAGTACATTCTCTAGTTCCTTTCCTAATGGCAATAGGTAAATCATAATCACTAATTTTAGGAGAGTCATGCTCATTTTGAGAAATAGAATCAGAAACTGTAATTACCTCATTTCCAGAGTTAGGATCAGGTTCTTGGATTTGCACCGGTTCAGGAGCTGGAACTTTCTTTCTTGAGTACACCTGTAATTCTTTCACAGAATCAAGAATAGTATTATCTTTAGTCACAACTTCTGTGTTTGGAATGGGTTCAAATTTAGAATCAGTGTTTGACTTGGACTCTGAAGAAATGGGTTTAGGTTCAAAAGAATTAATGGGTGAAACTGTTTTGGAGGAGGATGACAAGTCAAGCAAAAAGAAGTCTTTATCCTTATCTTCTATAAATGTTGTCTCCCCCTGAAGATAAGGTTGAATAAAAAATGGTTTACTTTCTTCAAAAGTGACATCTGCAGACACATAGAACTTTTTGGTAGGAGGATGATAGCACTTATACCCTTTCTGAGTTGATGAATACCCCACAAAGATACACTTAATTGCTCTCGGATCCAACTTTCCCCTATTATGACTGTGAACATGAACAAATGATGTACAACCGAATATCCTAGGTGTGAGGTTGTTTGTGGTATTAAGGTTGGGATAGAATTGTGAGAGTAGTTCCATAGGAGTTTTAAATCCCAAAACCCTTGAAGGTAACCTATTTATAATGTGTGTAGCAGTGAGAACAGCTTCCCCCCAGTAAGATTTGGGCACATTTGCTTGAAAAAGGAAGGCTCGGGTTGTGGCTAGTAAATGACTGTTTTTTCTCTCTGCCACTCCATTTTGCTGTGGAGTATTAACACAAGATGACTCATGAATAATCCCCTCATTTTGGAAATAGGTGGATAGACTCTGGTTGAAATAGTCTTTTGCATTATCAGATCTAAATCTCTTGACTCTCACTCCAAATTGATTTTGGATCATGTTTTGGAAGCTAAAAAACACACTATTCACATCTGATTTGGATTTAAGTAAAAAAACCCAAGAAACCCTGGTACAATCATCTATGAATGACACAAACCATCTTGCCCCAAAAATATTAGGAACTGTAGAGGGACCCCAAATGTCACTATGAATCAAGTAAAAGGGAGTAGAACTTCTTTTGTTACTAATTGGAAAAGATACACGTCTGTGTTTTGCAAGTTCACAAACATCACAATGAAACTCTTCAACGTTTAATCCTTTGAACAAAAAAGGAAACATGTTTTTCAAAGTTCCAAAAAAAGGGTGTCCAAAACGAAAATGATAAAGCCAGATTTTGTCTTTATTGGAAGATTGTTCAGAAAGAAATGACAAAGGTAAACTATTCTTAATATTACTTATGTTGTTGGATGTCTCAAGATAGTATAGTCCATCCTTCTCCTTAGCAAGTCCAATCCTCTTCCCCGAACCCTGGTCCTGAAATTCACAGTAAGAGGGATAAAAAGTCACATTGCAGTTCATGTCTCTAGTAAGTCTTTGTATAGATATCAGATTAGTAGACAATCTAGGAACATGAAGAACATTTTTAAGAATGAATGAGGGATTAATTTGAACATCTCCTAATCCTGCCACTGTAGTAAGTGAACCATCTGCAACAGTAATTTTCTTAGTACCAGGACATAGGGTATATGTACTAAACTTTTGTGAAGAATGTGTCATGTGGTCTGTGGCTCCTGAGTCAATGACCCAAGAACTCTTAATGGACTTATCTGAGACATTTAATCCATGAGAATTAGAGACTTTACCTGCACCAGAGTCCTTACCTGAGTGTGCCAAGGAGCATACACCAGTAGCCTTTTCAAGAGTTCCCAATAGGCTTTTCAGTTTCTCAATCTCTTTTTTATCCAACTCTCCTTGTTCCTGAGACTTCTCCTGGTTTAACTCCATTGCAGTCATGTTAGCTTGTCCTTGATTTCTTGGCTGTCCTCCTTTATAACCCCATTCTTTGCTTGAAGTTGAAGGTTTTCCATGTAGTTTCCAGCAACGATCTCTGGTGTGCCTTGGCTTCTTGCAATAGGTGCACCAAAGATTGTCGCGATTTGAAGTTTTAGCCGAATCACCCTTCCCATTCTCACTGACTGGTAATTGTTCTAAGCTTTGGTTCTTCCCACCATTAGAGACCATAGCAGATCCTTCTACATGCACACTGTCAAGCATCACTCCTCTTTTGCTCTCTTCTGCTCTAACCATGGATATCACTTCATTTAAAGAGGGCAGATCCTGTTTTCCCAGAATTTGGACTCTGACTTGATCAAACTCAACATTCAGTCCAGCAAGAAAATCATAGACTCGATCTTTTTCAATAAATTTCTTCAAAGTTGTTGCATCTTCACTGCACTTCATTTCTATGCATCGGTAGTGATCCATCTCTTGCCAAAGATTTTTAAGAAGAATAGCATACTCTGTGACTGACTTATTCCCTTGTTTGAGAGCTGCAGTCTTGATCTTGACCTCATAGACTTGAGCAGCATCTTTAACTTCGGAATAGGTTTGACGAATTGATTCCCAAATGTCTTTGGCCGTGGACAAAAACATACAAGTGTCACTAATATCTGGCATCATAGAATTCCACAGCCATGACATAACCATAGAATCCTCTTCATCCCAAGCCTCAAATTTTGGATCTCCTTTCTCAGGACCAGTGCCAAGAAGATGGCTCAATTTTCCTTTCCCTTTTAGAAAGGTTTGAACCAACTGAGACCACTTCAAGTAGTTCTTTCCATTCAACCTGTATGCAGCTTGGATATTCTGTAATTTCGCTGTGGTTTGGCCAGTTGTTACTTCTCCAAATCGAGTAGTAGCGGCAGATTCTGCTATTTCTGACATGATTACCTTTCTCAGGACTGAAACAAGTATAGGCAATGAAGGCAAAAAAAAAAGAGGAACAAAATAAAAGTATGATAGACTTAACAGAATTTGGCTATGAAGGCCTAAAAATTCAGCAATGAAGGCTGAGAAATTTTCTTCCCAAGAAGAGTCTAAAGCTCTGATACCATGTGGAAAAATGAGAGTATATTGAAAACTTGTATTTGAATCATACAAACACCATAGATTTAAATACAACTAACTGGAGAGTAAACTAAGAAATTAAATATTCCTAAATCTAATCCCTATAATCAAGGAATTGTCTATCCTGATATTCTGTCTTTAATTCTAGAGATACAAATTCTCAATTTTAGGGATACAGATATATACAGATTACAATCAGTAGATTACAAAATACAACCACTTGTAACTAAATGTTTTCCCACACTTCTTTACCACTTCTGTTAGTCTATCAAACCATGCACATGAGGATTGTTTTAGACCATTTAAAGATTTTTGAAGCTTACATACCTTGCCAGAATTGTCCTAGTTTTTGAATCTTGGAGGAATTTCCATGTAAACTTCTTCTTCTAGGTTGCCATTAAGAAATGAATTTTTGATATCTAGTTGGTGGAGTGGCTAATCTAGATTTGTTGCCAATAATAATAACACCCGGATTGAATTAAGTTTAGCAACTGAAGCAAATGTCTCATCAGAGTCAACACCATAAGATTGAGTAAATCTTTTTGCAACAAGGCGAGCTTTGAATCTGTTAATACTTCCATTTGCATTGTGCTTGACAGTAAAAATCCATTTGCACCCAACTGGATTTTTTCTTTTGGATAGTTCTGAAATCTCCCATGTTTTGTTCTTTCTAGGGCCTTAATTTCTTCCAGAACAGCTATCTTCCATTTTGGTTGCATGAGTGCTTCATGAATATTATTGAAAATCTGCATATTATTTAGTGTAGTAACAAAAGCCCGATAACGGGTGATAAACCTTCATAAGAAACCACATTACAGATTATAGGTGTTGAGTACATGATCTCACACCTTTCCTTATAGCAATCGGTTGATTAAGATCGTAAAAAAATTCAGTTGAATCAGATTCAGTAAGAGTGTTACCTATGTTGGTTTCAAATATTTTTGGAATTGGTTCAGATTCTTGGTTTTGCTTTGAAGGTGTACATTTTCCTAGATCCTTCTGAGTTTTGTCTTCTTGAATAGACAATCAATTCTTTGTTTGTTTTTCCTTGTGTGGACTTCAGGCTTGAAAGATTTGATTGGATGTTTTGGACTTGAAAGGGAGTTTGAGAAATGTTTGGTGATTTGGTAATAGGATCCTCCCAAAGCTAATATTCTCGTGTGATTGGATTCTCTCCCTGAATGGCAGTTTTGGGAAAGTAAGATTGATTTTAAAAAAAATTAACATTCATGGAATGGTAGAATTTCTTTGTTACTGGTGAGTAACACTTGTATCCTTTTTTATTCGGGAAGTATCCGATAAATATGCATTTGATGGATTTGGGATCTAATTTGCTTTGGTTTTGTTGATTGGTAAGAACAAATGCAGTGCATCCAAACACTTTAATAGACAAGATGATTCAAAGATGAGGATAGGAATCGAGGAGGAATTGGCAAGGGCTTTGAAATTTCAGGACTCGAGAAGGCGTTTTGTTTATAAGATATGTAGTAGTAAAAACAGCCTCACCCTAAAAATGCTTAGGTACATTGGTAGTCATCATGAGGGATCATGCAACTTCCAACAAATGTCGATTCTTTCTTTCAATAATGCCATTCTACTAAGAAGTGTCAACACATGAGCTTTGATAAATTATACCATGCTTCATTAGATATGATCCAAGAATTGAATTGTAGTATTCTCTTCCATTGTCGGTTTTCGACACTTGGATTTTGGTTTTGAATTGAGTTTGGATTATATTGTTGAAGTTTTGGAATAGTTGGTCCACTTTTGATTTTTTCTTCATAAGGAATACCCAAGTAACACTAGTGTAATCATCAATAAATGTGACAAACCATATGGAGCCAATAATGTTATTTACTCTAGAGGACCGAAAATGTCATTGTGTATCATTGAAAAAGGATGTGATGATTTGTAAGGCTGATGAGGATATGTGGTATGAGTATATTTGGATAGTTGGCAGACTTCACATTGAAAGTTGTTAGGATTTTGATTGAATAATGAGAGAAACAACCTTTTGAAATACAAAAAATTTGGATAAATATCAAATATTTTGTAGTCTTATATTCAAGTTGAGCTTTTTCACTTACTGTCAATTGGTTTTAAGTTGGATGCTTAATATGGTATCAAAGCACGATTTGAACCTTTGAAAAGTTTCATTCGGAATCCAGTATGACCAGTAGAAAGGAGAGTTCGGCATCGAGGGTTTCCTCTAATCTTGGAGCTAGCGTTTTCCAATCACTACAGAACATTACCACTCCTATTTGAACATGTTTTTTACCATAAAAGGTAATTTTCTAAGTGCCTCATGTTTAAAACTAGGGAAGTCAAATTCATGGATTATGAATTAAAAAGCTTTAGATCATATGACTGTGGATGCATCTATATTTAGTAAACACAACCCATCTCATGAAAACTTGACAGTTCGAATTGCTGATAGTTCACTTTCAAAAGTAATCAATACACATTCTGTTATTATTTTCAAAAAGATAACACTTGATTCTGTTCGATTTGTCCCAAATTTAAGTTGCAATTCACTGTCTAGAAGCAAACTTACAAGAGACAAATATGAAAGACCTTAAGTGTGTTACTAAATTTCTTTCAAATATGTGTGAATTTCAGTATTTGGACTTGGGGAAGATGATTGGCAACGCTAAGATGTGTGCAAGATTATATCCTAAGAGCTAATGATTCTGTGTTAAGCATTCAATTTAAAACCAATTGGCAGTAAGTAGAAGGGCTTGAATATAAGACTACATGATATTTGATATTCATTAGATGTAAGATAACCCATTTTAATTGGCTCCCATCACATGTAGGTGAGGATGAAAGAAGCCTATTACATGACAAATTTGAAAAGGGCAATAGAAAAAAATCTTGGCTTTGGTACCATGAAGAAAACTCTAGAATAAAACTATTTTATTCTTCTATATTTTTCTTATTGCAATGCTAGAATTACATGAAAATATATAGGCTAAAGATAGAATATTCTAAGTCTCAAAACTTAAGATTTTCATGCATTAAAACAGCTAATTAAACGAGTAATTTACTCTCTACATATAATAGGAAAATATCTAATGAATTTGGTGTAATTATCGAAATCATTTATTATTCTAAAAATAAGAGAGTTAACTAAAATAGATAAAGTCAACTAATCAAGTAATAATGAAGATTAGATTTTCATAGTAACCATTAATAATTTATTTTTGGCACAAACCAAAAATTCTACAGGTAACTGCAGGAGCTAGTTCAGTAAGTGCAGATCTTGTTATCAATCGTGCAGCTTTTGACTGGTGGTCCTTCCATGATATCAATTCATCTGATGTAAGGGGCTGCGGTGGTTTGACAGGACCTATGGCCATCATAGTATCTGAAGAAACACCACCCCGTAAGTTCTGGAAAACCATTTTTATGTTGTATCTCTATTTTGATAGCAAGTTATTATCATTTTCTTTAATATACTTATTCATATTGCAATACTACATCAGAGGGTATTCTTGGAGACACACTAAGCAAGTTCAGTATTTGGGGTCTCTACATAACTTTTGTGCTTGCTGTTGGCCGGTTTATCAGGCTTCAATGCTCTGACTTAAGAATGAGAATACCGTGTGAAAACCTGCCTTCTTGTGACAGGTAATCTTTTTTTTTTTTTTGGGAGGCAAAATCAAGGTGCGCCCTTCTAAGAAAATGTGATGGTAGAATTCCATACTTACAGAAGAAGGGTCGAGGATGAAGGCATGAAACACTATTTCATTCAGGCATTAGTTCATTGATATCTGTTTCTCTGGCTTTGATGTAGGTTGATAGCCATCTGCGAAGATATATATGCTGCAAGAGCAGAGGGTGAGCTTGGAGTCGAAGAGGTCCTTTACTGGACCCTAGTGAAGATTTATAGGTCACCGCACATGCTGCTTGAGTATACCAAACCTGACTAATTTGTCAAAGTCGATGCTCTTTCGGTTTTAAGAACTTCCACAGGTTTTTGTGAAACAAGTTTTGACTAGCAGCCAGACATACTGGAATCGGTTGAATTGGTTGTGATTCTTCTTTAGTAGCCAAGAAGCTCTATGGTGGTCATAGTTTCTTTTTGCGGAGCATCTGCGGTTACCATGTTGAAGAGATGCTAAATGATACACTACTAAACTTAACAACAGCCATGTTATGGACTACAAGCACAATTCAGGTTCTTGCTAAAAGTGATTTCTGCTTCACAGTTGGTCTAAAATGGCATCCTGGCTTTTTATAAAGAGAAATAGTTTCTTGGGAGGAATTTCTTTTGCTGGCTTGTACGTAATTTATAGGGTTACCCACATAATTGTACAGTTAGTTTAAAAAAACAAAAATAAAGTTTGTGTAGGATCAGTTATGAATTACTTGATTTATCCATGTATTGGACTTCGCATTTGAATTTATCCATTAATTATATATTATGAATTTATCCATTAATTATATATTATGTCAAAGATTACAAAATTTTAAAACAAAATTGATGGGACAAGTAGCATAACTCATACTAAATAAGCCTAATTGACCAAGTAATACATTAAATTCACAATTATTATCCACTCATGCGCACAAATTAACACGAAACAAATTCAAAAGAAGGTAATTTATTTTTTAACAAAAAAATGTTAATGGTGGGTGCTAGTTGCTACCCTTTAGATTTCCTACCAAAATTGTATTCAACTATTGAAGAAATGACCATATTGAATTATTTACTACTTCATGAAAATGAACATGGTAAGAATAAAAAACAAAAAGAGATATACATTTTTTTATTTTATTTTTTAGAGTTAACTAGATTACATCTCATCATTAGAATTAAAAAAATTAATATTTTATTAATAGATCACATAAAAATTAAAATTTTAATATTCTATTAATAAATTATATGACTTTGATTATTATATATTTTCAAATTTTCAATAATGCATGAATCATGACTTTTCATTAAAACCGATGAATGGTAATTAAATGTGAAATTTTAAAAGGGTGTCAATAGGTTGATATGTATTGAAAATTAATACATTCTAACCATTTAATTTATGAAGAAAGGAACAAAAATTTGGGCCAAGTTTGGGTCAAGTAAATGGCAAATGATCTTGTCCTATATAAACCCATTCCTCAACCCCAAAACGAGGACATTAAAAAAAAAAAAAATTGAAGCAGCTAGTTTATTTAACCCTTTTTTAGGTACGAGAAACCTGTCAGTTTGCTTCTTTTTCTTGGTCTTGTTCTTGAACCCTTCCAATGATAAAAATAATTCTATTCTTTTTAGTGTCTGTTAAAACTGATTTTTTTTTTAGATAAAGTTTAGGTTTCTATGAGTCTGTATGGTGTTTGATGATATGGGTATCTGTTAAAATGACTCTATATATTGGTGGGAGGTTGTTTTGGAACAAGCAGAGTTTGCTTGTGTAGTTAAGCTTGTTTGTTAAGTGTTTGATGGTGGGATTTGATAAGTGATAACTATTTATCTTTTTTTATTCATTTTAGTCTTTTGCTTACAGGACAAAGGTTTTTTTTTTTTTTTTGCATATGATTTTTTTTCTTATTGGAATGTAAATTAACTTTGTTAATGGTTGTTTATTAGCGTATTGTATGATTTAATTGGCATTATAGTTACACTATGTTATCAATCTGTTGTTCATTTCCCTTTTTTAATTTTTTTTGTCAAATTCATATTTTTGTAGAGTTTTTCCCATGTTTGTTTATTTTCTGCTTGCCTGCTTGGTCATAAAAGGTTTTGTTGAGAGAGACTCAACTTGTGAGGAAATTACAATATTTCTTATTGTTGTCCATAAGATGGATGAAAAGACTGATAGTGGTGGTGCCGCTAGCAAACTAGGGATTTCTTCTGTCTTACCTTAGGATAAAGCATGTAAGAACGAGAGAAAATTGGATGATCCTTCTCTAGAGAACCAGTTAATGTTCCCTTGTCCATGAGTGAATTTTCATTATGAATTACCTTGACAGATATTCCAAACCCCTTTACTTGGACCATTGGAGGTGGGATCCTTTAGAGGACCTCGCAGAGAAGATTTTGAACCTACTGATTGAGAGATTCGATTGCATGTTAACTTGAGAAATTAATGTTATCTAATTTGTATATAATTTTTCGAAACGCAATTAAAAAGATCGTAGAGTGTGGATTTAAGGAAGATATTGTGGAAAAGGACATTTCAAGGCACGGCCTTTATCAATGGGGTAAAGATCTTGTGCCAAATGTTGGGAATGAGGCTTTGGCTTCCTCGAAGAAAGAAAAAAAAAAGGGTGATATTCACATTTTGTTTTTTACTCTTCCAAGTAATAAGATTATCGCCTACGAAAATGCAGTAATCTGAGGTGGATCTTCCATCAATTACTAAACATGTATAATCTGCGTTTGTATATGTCTTTAAAATTAGTCCTGAATTTTTTTTAATAAACTAACCTCTTTTAGGATTGAATTTTCAAATATTGCAATATACAATAAATAGCTTAGGACCACTTTTTTAGGATTATATATAAATTAACTTGTTACACTCACAGCATATACTATATCAGGTCTAGTATGTGAGAGATAAATGAGCCTTTCAACTAATTTTTGGTACATCTCTCTATCTACAGCAGCATCTTCATTAGCTTCTCCAAGTTTATGATTAGGATCTATAGAGGTATTTGTGGGTTTACGTGCAAGCTTTTCAATTTTCTTTAAAAGATCCATCACATATTTCTATTGTAAGATAAAAATATCATGTCGTGAATGAGCTACTTCAATTTTTAGGAAGTACTTCAATCTCTTTAGATCTCAAATTCTCTAGTCAAATATTGTTTTATATATTCTCTCTTTTTCATCATCTATAGTTACAATTATATTATCAACACACACTAATAAAACTGTGAGTTTCCCTTTATTAGAGTGTTTGATAAATAATGTGTGATCTTCTTGACTCTGCTTATATCAAATTGCTAACATCATTTTGGTAAATCTCTCGAACCAAGCTCTAAGAAACTGTTTAAGGTCATATAAAGCCTTTTTCAATTTGTATACTTCGTTTGCTTCTAGATGACCTTTAAATCCCAATGAAACCTTCATATATATTCCTTCTTAAAAATCACAATGTAGAAAAGCATTTTTTACATCAAATTGTTGAAGCTCTCAATTGTAATTTATAGTC